TGAAGATTTGCATTAAATACGGGCCCACAAATTGTTATGACATTGTTGTTGAATAATCACGTATGTCTGTTTTTCAGACCGAACAGGAGGATGCATAAAAAAGCTTCCTGTATCGAGAGTAACTACGGTTACCACCAGTTCCATGGGTTACACCGTATGTTTCATTCGCATCATCTTGTGTGGCATAATTATCATGACAGGGTTAAGAGGCAATTTTTATCTGAGTCGACCTCTTAGAAGCTCAGACCACAATCGATTCTCCTGATATCTTTCAGCGACGTCATCAGATTCTCCAGGTTCTGATGATGTCGTTCTTGTCCTGTGGCCTCACAGTGTCTTTTAAGATACCAAATATGGAACAAGAAAAAGAAAATGACTCTAGACAGAGAATGGTGGAAGAAAGGGCGTCTATAGACTGGATGAATCAGAGCGGTTCAAATCAAAACTCTTCACTGCTATAGAAGCTATCTAAGCTATCCGTGCAATTTCTACCGATAAAGGTTATGCATTTTTTTAAAAATTGCCATTTACAGTACTTGTAATTACAAGACCGGATTGCGGTTTCCCGATGACCCATATATATATATATATATATATATATATACATACATATGTATATGCTACTTAATGTTCTGAAAGGTGATGTCAAAAACTATATTTAGGAAACTTTCGAGCTATATAATGGTAATGTTAGAGTTGAAGTTTCTCGTTTACATTGTGGAGCCTTTTCTGAATGACCTACTGCACCCAGGTCAAATCAAAAACTAGGATTATGTATTATCTACTGTATTTCTGAATAAGTTCAAATCACAAGGTACTATAAAACTAAAATAAACGCAGTTAGCTTGGGTTTCTGAAGAGATCTATTAACGGAAGGATATGTACTGTGCTAAAATAGCGATACATCAACGAAACTCAATATGTCACCTACAGATAGCACATAGATTTCACAGTAAAATTCAACTAAATGAAACGAGTGTTTATGAGATGCAAAGGTTGCCGATTGCAATTGATAATACTCTGCTTACTTAATTACTCTACTTACGCGCCGTGTCGACAGGATCTCGCCTTAGGGTAGCAGAGCTCATGTGTATGATGTAATAGTAAATCAAGGAAAAGTTAGCCGTAATTGATTTAAAGGAACATGTTACGTATTAAACTATAATATTCGAAACACCTTTTCCCTTTTTAATACAGTACCCGTCACATAAATAATCTTTATATAATGCCGTGATGAACGTTATTAATATAGAATGTAAAGCAGGATTTGCCTTTATCAAGAAAGAGATATTTATACCACCTCAAATTATGACTGAACGCTCACTTCGCAATTAGAAAAGCCACTAGCTACTTCTTCTTTTCCAGTCTTTAGCCTCCTTCAAATTTCTTTTAAGCAAACCTGTCAAATAGATGAGTGGTCAGCTGAATCAAAAATAAAAATAATCGACTTAGCGACGATTTCTAGGTCACAAATGCCACCGGAAAGGCTTAACTGAAACATATTGGGCTCGTTCTTCGTAGGCAAGCTAAAGTGATGAAGGCACTTATTTCCGGAATGGAAAGCAACTTATAGAAAACCTTGTGCACAACGCTATGAGAACACGAATTCTGCAAAGATACTGCGAACATGATCCGATAGGGATCAATAACAAACCTTTCGCTTTTATGTTCGGAGGAGTTAAATCTTCGTTTTAGCATATTTATGTCTTCCGAAAGGGTTGAGTTAAGACCTTTTATCCGAAGGCCTCTTATAAGGCCTTACTAGTCCTAGCTACTAAGCTAGCATTTACGTCTATGAATTATGGCACCGCTTTAGGTTTTTAATAATAATGCATCTATAATGATTGTGTGAAAAGAGAATTCCTGAACAGGAATTCTATTATGTACATTTTACAATAAAGACACAATAGAAAATACATGTATGCCAGAATGAATTGCCCCTTGCAATAACTAGCTCATCCATCTCATTCAGTAGTAAAATGCATGTCTCGTATCTCGCTGATCGCAAAGGGTTATGAGATCGTCCTTCTTGACATTGCATGAATGATGAATTAAGGGTAGTCATAGATTTACTAGAGGTAGCTAGAAATCAACACTCGCTGCTGTCAATCGATGAAAGTAAAACATTGTTTGTTTCTGTCTTACCCTATCTCTCGGCTACAGTAATTGTCTCTACGTGCCCACTGGTTCTATATGATGATGTCAAGGGCACTTAACAACAGTTAACTAATCACCAGTCGGATGTCACAGTGGGACCTATCGGCCGTATAGGTTGCTGACCTGACAATTGCTTCCTTACCACGAGACTGCATAGATTATTGCCCAATACGCTATAGTCGCTTGTTTCTGTTAGACAACCTACAATAATGTGAACGCACACTATAGTACACAGTACGGATCTTTAACTTATTATTGAAATGATATAAAAGATAACATAGCATGACATTGTACATTCAGCTGCCTGTGTTCATAATGAAATTAATTAATCAAATGATGAAAAGATGACTAAATAGGTCAAATAGTTCCTCAGGCAGCTTAGGAACAACACTTAGATGCCGGCTTTAGAGATTTACCTATTAGGTATTTGTGCATTTACTCTCAGTAGCTATGTTTCAGCTTAGAACATTAGTTCAAATGTTTCAGAGCTTGACGTATGCTTGCCTTAAATGGAACCTATTCAACAATTAGGTTGCGCGGCATATCGCCGTATCATCGAGATAGTGTAGATTCACACTGGGGCAAACGTTCTAAGTATTTCCTGAGTATTTAGCGGAGACAAACATTAATACATTGAGCGATCTCTATGTCTCCTTAGTTGAACACTATTGATCGCTAAAGCAAGTTTGTGAAACCGTGACAGTAACACTATCTGAACAGAACCCTCACAGATCCGAGAGCTTAACGCAAGCGTGAAGCGTTCGGTGAAGTGGCGTTGAGCAACTGAAACGTCGCAACGAGCCCTCTGAGCGCTAACAATGCACCCCGCCGGCTCATCTGACGCAGAACGCAGAAAACCATTTCAATGGCATACCCATTCATGTGCTGGACTTTTAGTCTTATAAGTTTCTGCACCCTAGAAATCAATGTTCAATCCTGACGGCAGTTAATAACTTGTTTTTTGCTCTTTGGCAAGCACATACGGCGAACACGAAATTTAATGTTGCAAAAGGTACCGTCCAAGTAAACTACGCGGGCTTATTTTCTTTATTTGAGAGTTCGTTAACTACTAATCAAAGGAAGAAGACTTTTAGCTACAAACAGCTTAGCTACGCCTGAATGAATCCAGTTAGTAGCGGTAAATTTTTCTAAGTATATTATATTTTTCGTCTAACTGCGTCTCGTAGACAGGGTTCGAGATTGTCTTTTGGATATTTCATGTGGCCCATTAGGCAAATATTTGTTGGGGTGCAACCCAAAAGATGAAGGCAGTAAGTACTCCATCAGCTTGTAATACTATTTGATAGCTCAGACAATGGTGTTAAGGCGTTCCGTTAAGCTGGCAAAGGCGTGGCCAAGGTTGGTGAATTTATAATGATATTTCTCGTAAAGCATAATATGGCATAGGCCTACTAGAAGTCCTGTAAAATTTGTAATTTGTCATGATGCTACGTATAAGCTATTGAGCTTCTTAGTCACTGAGCAAAAAAAAAGAGCAGATTTTAAAAAAATAACACTGCGAAGGTTGCTGCTATACTCCGAATCGATGGTGCCAGTAACATTTTTCGTCATGGTAAGTTCGAATAAAAATTATAAAAAGGTGTTCGCATTTTGATGTAGGGCAACGTTAGCTCTAGTTAAAATAACATCGTAACAAACGTTCACGTGCAAGCTAATATAATTTTTTTCCCTATAGCTTAAAGTAAGTTAATTCGTGCTTATTTCTTTCTGAGAGGAGTTGCGTTGATTTACCCTATCGCACGGAGCAGCTATGCAAACATTTAAACCAGCTCTATGAAACACACACGGTCATTGTTATTGAGTCGGAAAGCGCCAGTGCTATTACGTACTGACCCTCTGAAAAAAGTTGCAAGTTACGTATTCAACTTGTGGCACTTTACCAAGCTAAACGTACCAAATAATTCTACCATTTTAGATACGGGTTAATTTATTGCTTATATATATATATATATATATGTACGTCGAGTGCTTATATATATAAGTCGAACGGTTTTCTTAACAACGCGTATTAGTAAAGCATTCCTTTCGTTGTCGATTTCGTTATTACCAAAAGTATATTACTGCATGTATTCAGCATAAAAGGTGCATAAATTACAGTGTTGTAACAAGTTTATATCTTCAAGTAAACCTTTTCGTTTTGTCCTATTCTGTTAATTAGCACGTAGTTGAGCATTTACTACTCTTTCCAATGTTGCATCGCTTCTGTCCATGTTTACTCGATATATTCGTCCTTTACAGCAGCGTGTCTCGTCTTTTTCGTATACTACTTCGTCTGGTCATTGTTTACGTTTCCGCCTTACCTAGTAAACAAAATTACTATTTCTAAACACTTTTTGCTACGGGCCTGGCTGCCTTTGTTAGATCGTTGATGGATCGCGGCGTAGATTCTTGCAACCGAACATAGTATAATTCGATACGTCCCAATGTTTACGTATATACGCATGTACATACGTATACATGCAGATAAATTTTGAGTCTTGTGTTCTCTCGCTTTACGTGTATGCATCCATTTTCCACTTACCGTCCAACGTTATACTTACCACACAACTACGATAGGTCTGCACAGTACCTATATGTCCTCATCGTTTCAGCGGACGCGTTAGCGGATTAGTCATCATCACCACAGAAACGGATAGATGGACTAACAGGGTACCCTTTCCTTCAAATTTACGATATTATACGATGTGTTGTCTCTTTTGTTGGCCTTGAGGAGCACGGCACATGAAAGGCAGAGAGGGACAGTTGGCCTCTTTCCGAATCAGCGCTGACAACGGCGTCGTCGTCGGTCGTGTGGCGTCTGAGGAGGGCCCCAGAACCCAAACGGCACCGGCTGACAAACACGACCGAACCAGTGCCGCAGCTTCTCTATTCGCCGTAACACGTCTCACTTTTGCCTATGCGAAGATAGGTTTACTTTTACCATTGCCGTCAACAGAGCAGACGCTAGCCGCAGCGGCAGCACAAGACCCAGCGAATCGTGTCCGTAGTGGTAGTAAGAGCAGTCGTTTGGCGTTGACGACCGATTACGATGGTAGAAAAGGCCGAAATAAAGCTGAGAGAAGGAGAAACACCGCTCGCTCGAATTGAAAGCAGCCTTTAGAGCGGCAGTGCACAAAGCACAGGGCTTCGTGTAGTAAATCGCTCCGTTCAGAGCATACGTTAGTTGACTCTTGACGCTTGGTCCACTTACTCAGTTCAGCTCATCGATACCAATACCTGCCGCATAAGTTAGCATCAGCAACGAGTAAGTTCGCATTAAGTATGGTGGCAGTGTTCATTCATGTGGTTTATTGTCAGAGTGTGTGATTTCGTGCAATGGGCAATGCTAATTCATTCAAGCAACGGATACTGTGACGATGAGTAGTGTCTTATTTTTTTTTTATTAGACTATAAGTATTTGGCAGGAATGGGTTAAATACTTAGATGGTCATTTTTAACGGGATGCATATATTACCGCAAAAGTTAAAGATCATCAGGTAATCGTAACAGATGACAGATTATAACTAGACGCATAGCAGTGAAACAAAAAAGCACCTCTGCTGATAACTTCCGATAACATACTCAGTGTGAACATAACAAAGTTCTAGTTAATATATTTAAGCATAATCGTACCGATACACAAACTCTGGCTATACTTATGTTTGTGATATCTTTGTGGAACTGTTTGTCAACAGTTCAGCAGATATCAATACATTGCTTCCAGACGCATGCCCCCTGCCCCCTTGTGAGTTCGTTGTGAATGTAAGTGTGTTAAAAGTAGAACAAATATTACTAGGCTACGTCTTGGGATGTGAATGTGTGCGTGATTTGGTTTGTGTACTCGGGCGTACATATGGCTGTAGGCGTGCTCAGTGGCATATTTCATGTTCCCCCGTTTCCATTTGCTGCTTACAATGCAGCGTGATCGATGGCCAGCAGAGGTATCTGCAGCCTATTTCCATAGACAGTTCGAGCTTGGCGTGTAAAAATGGGTTCCCTTTGCGAATGTCCACCGAAGACAGAGTTACTATTTTGTCTGGCAAAGGTCACGCTGTGCTGCAGCCGGAAGTTGACAGTATTGTTTTATGGTTAGTCAACAAATACTGTTACACGGATGTTAAAGTATCTAAGTTTAGGACATTCCGTGCATGTTTCGCGAGGGTTCCGCCATTAAGCCAAATAGTCATTCATTGAAAACAGTAGGATCGAGTGGTAATCGCTGCTGACGAAAGAACATCGTAACGACATTTAGCTGTCAACGTACTTGCCAGCTAGACGCGCACAAAAGGCTTCTATGGACTGCGGTGTTTGTTATACTATCGCTGTTCGTTCACATTAGAAGAGATTATTTTCTTGGCCAACTGCTTATTTGGTAAGTTACTCGAATGGCCGAACGTATTTTCTGCAGATAAGCGATAACCTTACGTGCGTGCGTACACGTTGCCGAAGTGATGGGCAAGTATGCGACAGCAGTAAATGGTTGTTCAGCATAGAACATTTTCAATTTTACGTCAAATATAATTAGGGACGAGGGGGATATGAGAGCAGAACCGTGTCATTGTTGAGTAGAATGCCTTCGTGCTACTGCAGCTGACAGTGTACTGCTTTTAAAAATCAAGCGTCGGTTTTATTGCCACATATTCGTCACGTTCTAGAACTGCTTTAGTCTTCTTTTATTATATTTTACGTATATATTTTATTCACAGTCAATTCCGTGTGTTCATATGCGTCACTGAATATGGTAATGAGCGTGATCAACAGAACACGGCCCTCGCCATGTATGATACCAAGCAGTTCTGCAAACTCGAATAGAGCGTTACTTATAATTTCACGTACTTAAACTTGTTCGAAATTAATTACACGGTGCACAACAATAGTTCTCCCACTGTCTCTCAATACGCTACAAGAACTTCTCAAGTTCTGTCCATTTCCACCAATTGGGTGGCGTCCAGCTCCGCTTGCAGCGGCTTCGCCACCAACTGTATCCACAGAAGACACGGAAGTACGTCTTCTCACGATGCTGCGAATGTCGAATTTTGGGTTAACGACTGCAGACACGGTTCAACAAAGAATAAGTGAAGTTCAGCCCAATAAGAACTGGGGCGTTAAACTGCCCCGGAATTTTATTTTTGGTGTAATAAAAAAATATCAAATGAAGAACTTTTTGTAAATTAAATAAAACATGTTTATTATCCACGTTATCTACATATGTATTCTACATACGTAGATAACGTGGAGAACTTGCGAAAACAACTTCGGTTCTGTGCTAAAAGGCCAGCGTGTTGGACCTTTCATCTTCAATGTGAATGTGTTTATTAATCGCTAGGAAGACTTTATAGCAGTAGCAGTTTCTGACCACGAAGCATCGTCCTGAATATCAGTAATCTACTACTACCAGTGTTACTATAGGGCAGTTATGCTCCTTAACTTTCACTCGTATCATTTCACACTCTAGTACTTAAGACGAGTTCTCTCCCATTTCTATCACTATAGAAAATAGAACGATTAGTAAAAATAGCCTATTTTTTAATTTGAAAGCTCAATAGACTTTACGAAAGTGCAACTAGTCTCTCATTACCTTTGAAGTATCCAAAGCTATTCTATATTATTAATAAGATAGATTAATTTTAAGAATCAGTCTACACGCAGTACATTGGCTTATGTTCACAGTTAAACGTTCAACTTTCATTATTGTCCGTAGGACTGCTTGTATTAAACTCTAAATTCACTCTGTGGTCTACTGTCCTGCTTTGATCGTTTTGTCGAGATGGCTTAACTTCGTAGAATGGAGAATGAAATTATAATTAGGTGATAGGACGAGGGTGTTAAAAAAAAAATGTCGAACCTGTCGAATATTTGGGTTAAGACATAAGGAAGATTGAAGGCAGGTTAAAAACTGAACTACTTACAGGTCCAAAATTAAAAAAAAAAAAAAATAAGCGTCCATTCGGAAGAAATATAGAATTATCGTTGGGACAGATGCGCGATTAAGAACTTTTTTTTCAGTGGCCGCGTTTTTGTTGCACTGTACCATGACCTAGTTGCACACCGCTTTACTTTTACCTTGCATCTGACTATAAGCGTTTGGGTTAGGCTTAGCGTCGGTGCCATTAAAGTTCAATAATCACATAATGTTTGTGTATTACATAATAACCTCAAGCATTAATGATAGTTCTGTGGATCAAGCATATCTTCTGTCTAAGCAATATTCTCGTGAAGCATCCTCTAATGTAAACATCGTAGGTTCAACATAACTATTAGGTAGAAATAATCCAAAATATGCTTAGTGTAGCATTTGAGACATAGCTTTCGTTGAATGGAGATAGTAGTCCGGGGGTTCGAGTATTCAGGTCTTGCTGTCAAAAATATCGTGGACGATTACGTATGTGTAGACACGACAGGATCTGTCCTGAAGCACCGCACACGACTCCCTCTAATGAAGGCATTGCGTATTGGAATTTCTTGTAGATAAGTTCACGACACGCACCCAGCCCAGTTGCGCTATGCGTTCTGCCAAGCAATATGAATTCGCCTAGAAGCTCTACGAGTGCCCAGGTCGATCGTTTCGGTCGATACGGTACACTCAGATATACAGAATACAAACTATTGTTGGTCCCATTTAGTCCGATCACAGCCAAGACGGTTTCGTACATGATTAATAGAAAGCGCGGTTCAAAGTAAGCATGGAGTGGAGTAACGGTCCATATTATCATACTGCTGTTGCCATATTCGCATGAAGGTTCAGCAGTAATACGTTTGCACGGTACCGAGAAGGAGATCCGGATTATACAAGTTGGTTTCGCTGTAGGCCAACAAATATGCGTTGATTAACTTCTTCTGGACCTATTATTACAGATAGTAAGTTTAAAGTTGGTTTGCGGATGAGCAGTATTAGGCCAGTCTACAGCATCAAGGGGGTACAAAGTTGAGTCAAGCATTGGATAGTTTATTTGTTGGCGAAAGAACGAACTGCAGTTTACCTGTTCGCGAGCTTTTCGTCGTTATTTTTTAGTTACTGTCATTTTGTTAGCATACGAACGGTTGATTGGAGTATGCTAAAGGCTTGGGATTGTGGGCTGCAAGATCGTATCAATGAGCTATCTTAGAGCTTAATTAATAGTATTGATTGACGAATTCAAGTATTCCCAGGAACAATATTCCGCCTTCAAAAGTAACTCAAAAAGTGCCCAGTTGGGTTAAAGAAACCAAATGAAGTGCTTGCTTTTCTGCCTCCAACCCACATTTTCAGTTACAGATTCCTCGTTGCGCACACTACACCAATCCAAGTTTATGTCGACAGCTTCATAATCTGGGTGAAGGATAAATCACAAGTGATGAAAATTTTGTTTTCTCCCGAAAGATAGATACATGTCCTTGAAGCTTGGGCTGAAGGTGAAAACGATGACAACAGCTGTATGCAAAGAAAGAGTTTTTCAATAATATCTAATTTTTGACCATTAGTAAGCGAAAAATTAAAAAACATAGGTGGCAAAGTAAGTGGCCATTCGTTTTTTAACAGCCAAACGTATACGTGGATCGTGAGCCTTTGGAAACCGTTGGTCAGACCAGCTTTATATATATATATATATATAGCTGGTCTGGTATAATTTAATGGTATAATTTACATGTTAGTGACCTTCTTGTTATTCTGGCAGAATGGCCACAATCCGTCCCTACAGTCCATTCGATCCTCAGGAAGATGCGAAGGCTTTACGCAAGGCGATGAAAGGCTTCGGGACAGATGAGGCAGCCATCATCTCGATCCTCTGTGCCCGCACTTCAGCTCAACGACAAGAGCTTATTCCGACATATAAGCAAATGCACGGACGGGTAAGCAGTTAGTTGCTTTGTTACAGTTTCAGCATGTCAGTCGGCCGTTAAATCCTAGATACCTAAATATTTTCGAAATTAGATATAACATATTGTAGCAGTAACCAGCTCTTGAGCGTTCTTTCAACTGCCCTAAGCTTTAAAAAGTGATTGCGTAGCTATATATTTCCGCTTTTACCTTCATTCGTATCGATTTCGTATCGTTGAGATTGTTCACAGCTTTTCGTTCTACTTTTAAAATTTTACCAAGTTACTGTTAATTTTATTACTACATCAACGAGACAAAATGAGAAATTTCCAACGGTTACGGCAGTAGCACAGTCGCAGTGTAATTTATGATTTAAATAGCTAAATAGGATAGGACAAATTAGATGTAATCATGTTTCTAGTCCTGGCAAAGAAACAGGACATATTTTAGCCATTTTTTTTTTTGTTACTTTGCCATAAAATCTAGGTGCAAAATGTGGCTTTTAGAGTTTCAGATGATTTCGAAAATTATTGAAGCTATACTAAAGGCAAGTACCTATAATCACTGTGAGACGACAGTTTAAACAATTCTGATCATGCCGATATTTCTGAATTAGCACAGGTGAAACTGCTGTGTATTGTTAAGTACAACGAGTCGTTTCCTCACGATACGTTTGAATGGGCAGATTAAAATAAAGAGCCCCGGTTGTCGCAGCTAAAACCCCGGCGGAAGGTTATCTTTCCTACTTTCGCTTCTTGCATCCCTATTGTCTGTTATATAGTTTAGTAGGTTAATTTCGTATGCCTTCATACACTTTTATCGACATAACTGCCATACATAAAATTACCTCTGCCATAAATAACTGGGTATTGCTGCAGTCTTGTCGAGGCGTTTATTCGACCAGGCCGTTAGCTCGGGGCATCTGTACAAAAATCATTTGCCCGCATAGGCTCTCAGTGAATCTCAACCACATCATAGAGTTGCCATCTGCACCTGGTTCACAAAAAAGCACTTTTCACCGACCCCGAGTATTTTCATCACTAAACTTAATCATGAAAGGACCTAAATGCTTACAAAAATAAATTACATGCATCAATAGATATTTGCTATATGGAAAAATCGTGCTGATCGCACTTAAACGCTGCTTAATAGCACGAGACGTATCCTCTCTTTGAAGTCATTCATCAAATTAAGTATTCACTAGTATTTAAGTGACGACTGTGTTTTATATAAACGTATTTATTTGTTATATTCATTCCTAGTTACTAACAACGTAAGGCTTCCGTCTATTCAAAAACCTCAGATCTACTGCTGTCCATAGTAATCGAGCAGCGACAAAGGTTAGCGTGATTTGTTATTTCTTATTAGCTTATTATTCTAGCGTGATTTCTTATTATCAGCTTAAGACAAAAGGCGGTCATCTGCTGAAACGCAAACACCGACAACTAAACATTTTGAGAAAATATTTTCAATAATATTTATTCATGGTGAGGTCGCAACAAATTGCGCTTCATCGATCTTTTTCCAGTGTTAAATGGAGTTTTCTTTTCCCGAAGTTAGTGCTTTGAAAGGCACTTTTGCCTACTCATAAATACATTGTTCTAAAACTATATGTAGCTGACGCCACCAAGGGCATCGCTGAGTCATCCACAACTAGCTGCATCTCGACTTATCGTCATGTTATTGATGTCTAAGAAAGACGCATCAGCGGGGACCCAGTCGGTAAAAACGCTAGGGAAGTGTTTTAAGAAATCATGCGGATTACTCACCGTACTATCTATGACACAACGTATACGTTGACTTCGTTCGAAAAACGGAACTTTAAAAAAGGTGTAAAACTTATTACACAGGCATATTTAGGTACCGGTGGGACTGCCTCTAAACATTTTGGGATGTCAAAATAGAAATTTATCATCGTCTAGCAAACTACTCAGTACTAGCCGGCTGTCTTAACTCTAGCTTTAAAATAGTGCCATCGGTATTAATATTGTAGTATGCTCTGAAAACTCAACTGATTATTTCTGTTAGGAACTTAATCATTTTCAAAATATTACTATATGAAATATATGCCGTTGTAGAGCTGATATAGTGGCCTATTGAATATGGCCAATAGTTTTGCATTGTAGCACCGTATTTGATTATTGCTTGCTATCTCCGAAAGATAAAGTCTTCTACTCGTATAGCGAAGTATCCATGTTTAACAGTTCAAGCTCTACTGCTACATTAAAGGCTAAACCCGTTCGGCAATGTTCATAATTGATCTTTACTTTTCTGGATCATATTCATTTTATATATATCACAAAGGTTTAATAGGTCTGCACAACGCATGGCTTTTCGACAGGCATAACCTTGCTCATCGTGCCATTGGCTTTCTTTGAAGCGCATGCGCTCGTTAGCGTACTCTTCAAATGACAACTGGGATCTGGGTCGATGGGAAGCATCGATTTATGTCGTATCAGAGAAACACTTCGATCAAAACACCTGTGTCACACAGACATCTTGTCATGGGCACAACGCCGTAGTGAAAACAGGCAACGCTGCTGATCTGTTTATTCAGCCGACAAATAGAAAAATATATATAAAAAAAAAAAGGTGTACACGATCTTATTCGTATAAGCACAGCAATACTGCCATAGTGCGGTCTACTCGCATTGTTCTGAATCGTCCTATATCAAAAGGTTAACCCAATGTTCAGTATTGTTTGACGTCCGGAAGGGATGAACTGTGGTTGGTAATTATTCTTAACAGAATAAATAAATCTAAATCTGACTTTTTACATTATCCTAAAATGGTTATCTAACAGCCTTGTTCTTGAATAAAAAACCTTTATGCTCGATATTATAGGACCTAATCAAGGATTTAAAGAGTGAGCTCTCTGGGAACTTCGAAAATGTCATCATCGGACTCATGACACCTCTAAACGAATATCTCGCTCAGGAGATCAAAAGGGCGATTAAGGTACGCACAGGCATAATCTTTGTTTAAAGGGATTATTATTTGTTTCTTTCGACTCATTATTCACGAGGCATCAACTTTGTCTCTAACTTCTATACTCAAGTACGATGTAAAGGAAAACTGAGATATATTTATGTAAAGGTACGTTGCGTGTGTATGCTGAACACAGGATTAATTTAGAAACATTTTTGAACTGTTAGGGTATTGGCACGGAGGAAAATGTCCTGATCGAAATATTGTGTACGCGCAGTAACGCTGAAATCGCTGCCATTAAGGACGCCTACCAAAAATGCGAGTATTATTTATATACATGACCATTTACTATCATCATCATTATTATTTTCAGTGTTAGATTTTATCATGCCGCACTATACATTTACACTCCTTTATCTCATTATTACACGGCGGTAGGACACATGTCTGCACAAGATTCTAGCTACATTGGAGCAAGCATGTAATCCAGAATTCGTTGCAACATAACCTTGTAGTTAGGTTGATATATATAAATATATATATACATATATATGCGCTTAATAACTGCCAATTTATTCTTTCATTCGTGTGTAGTATATGGAAATTCCATGGAAGATGAGGTCGCCGATGACCTCTCTGGTGATCTAAAACGCGTGATGGTTGCATTAATGACCGCACGCCGTCCAGAACGTACTGGAGTCGATCCTGGCCGTGCTCAAAGGGACGCTAACGAACTTAAAAGCGCCGGTGTGGATCAATGGGGTTGGTACATAAGTAAAATTGAAATTCATAAGGTTTATATCTCGTTTATGAGTCTGAGAAATAATTGCATTTTCACGTTGCATAAAGGACGTCAAAGGAAGCATTTAGGTTTGATTTTAGCTCAAAACTTATTAAAGTTTTGAGCTATTTATAAGTCCTTAATCTGAGCAGTTGCTACGCCTAGAAGGGCTGGTTTGAGTGGGGTAAGTTGGACCCATAGTAGGTGAATGATCGATTCGAAGATCGCCCCAGATGAGATTAATCGACGGGCAGCGATCTTTCGATACATCAACGTGATAGCGTCACTTTTTGTCACTCAATCATCTTTGACCCGTGTTAAGAGCATCACATTTAACCGTTTCCATTGTCACTTTTGACAATTCTAACCTGTTACTCGAAAATGGAAAGACCAACATTTCATATTGCTTCAGTGATTTTAATAATAATACTGTGTTTCTATTGGAAATTATGGACAACAAGCTCTTTTTTTGAAATTTTCTATAACTAACCCACTGATTTGCTTTCCTAAGCCACAACATAATTAGGTTTGGCTAGGGGTCAAAAATGTTTACTGATTTTGTCGTCAGAACTCTGCTCGATTTGTATCTGCGAAACACAAACAAAATGGACGGTGTCCTGTACTACTTGCCTACTGCTTTTGATCGACGGTTCTAGGATAACATTTTTCAGCCCAACTACATTCATACCCGTTGCGAAAGCAGAATAAGTAAACTTTTTATGAAGATAACTTGTCAATGTAATGTTACAGGCACCGACGAAGGAGCCTTTATTAGTGTTTTCTGCAGCAATAGCTACGAACAGCTGCGTGCTATTTTCCATGAATACCGAGCCCTTGCTGGACACGATATCATGGATGCCATCAATAACGAGATGAGCGGAGACCTCAAAGATGCGCTTCTCGCCATTGGTACGAATGCAACGTTTGCTCATATAATTAATTACTCATACAGGCATGTTCTTCGTTTTGCTTGAGATACATCACACGAACCGCACAATACATATGCTATGAATAAGTTGCAAATTTTATTAATCATTGGTAAAGTAACTTCATCTATAAGTTGAGTTAGAATTTTTACAGTCTGAGATTATGCATCACATTGTACTAGATAGCCGCCGTGAGTAGTGGTGAAGGGTAGATTTGATCTCTTTCAAAGTCATTTATATCAAGTCTGGTTGATTTTTGTCATACTAAACAATAGGTGTGTAACGACTTTAAAAAAAAACTTACAATTCCAAGATGCCAAACCTAAGTCAGCCTCAGAAATACCAACAGCTAATAAACGCGATTGCTTACTGTTGTTGTTGTTGTTGTTGTTATTGTTGCTAACGCCTTTTATATATTTCAGTTAAAAGTGTATTCAACACTCCTCTGTATTTCGCCGAACTCCTTCAGAAAGCTATGAAGGGTATGGGAACCGATGACAAAACTCTGGCAAGTGTTTCGAAACGCTTTTTTTTTATTTGAGAACATCATGTCACAGATGTTAGACTACTTCATGAAGCGTAGTATTTTTTTCATCGTACTAGATATCTGAATGTATATGTGGAAATTTGATTTCTTTGCCAATCGATCTTAATATAATAAGATACATAAGAATAATATAATAATCATACAATAATTTACTTATGTAGCAAATCAGCATTGTACGGTCCCATAGCTTTTATCTTATTTTATTTTATTTACTATATCCAGTACCTAGGCCAAAAAGATCCTTGTTGTGTTCAAATGTTTAATGGACAGCACTCCAAAGGACAATAAGGTTAAATAAAGAACGTGAATCTTACTGTGACGTGCAGGTCCGTATTCTGGTATCCCGTAGCGAAATTGATCTCGCTTATATCCGTCAGGAATACCAGAAGGTCTATGGAAAACCTCTTGAAACTGCCATCAAGGTATCTAAGGAGTCTAGTTATCTATTACTCGATGTTCCTATTTATCAGTATTAATTTATAATTGTTCAAAATTGCTTCAAATTGTTGTGGGGTTGCTCGTTTCAAAAATGCATGTTTTTTTTTTCTTTATAATGACGCTTGCAAGCCTGGAATGCATATACGTAAGGACTAACTTTTTCATACTTCGATGTGAAAGCTATCGAAAATCAAACAATGCGATGGTTACAGAGGGCTCATTGAATAATATTAAATTTATTTAATTATCCTTATGTGATTGCCGCTACGTCTAAAAGAATCAGCTGCGAGTTAGACATTCATAGAGTGCTACAGCTTCAATTTAGAGTTTATATATCATTACCAAGCGCGCTCGTTAAAATAACTTTTTTTGATAACTAATGTAAGATTTGCTTAATGAATCAACTATGCCATTGAATCTGCTAACCAGGGCTAACTTTAACGGAGGGATGAAACGTATAACAAGAACTTAGACCAAAAGAGTTGCAGTAAGAAGAACGAAAGATGTGCCAGTCCTATCAAATGCAACAACTTTAAGCACAAACATTTCGCGACAACATTTGTATGATCTTTCTGCTACAGAATGTGCCTGTTATAATTTTGCTAACAATAGCGCAGAGTAAGCACGATGTTTATTAATAATAGGGGCAAAATTTTTCCTTCGATCCTCACAGACCTTAATTATTGTAAAAAAAAAATCGCGCTTAAGTACAATTCATAAACGAAATAAAATTCTATGGGGCTCGCTTACGAAATCGCTTTCGAAAATCTACGCACGCGCCCACAGACAACACCGTGTACAGACATCGCCCGTTATTATTCATAACTGCGGTGGCAGGATTATTTTTTCTACGTACTCAGCTACGATGAAGCTATGAAGCGATATATCTCATTTGATCCTTGCTCTATGTTGATTGAAAAACCGTATACACTAATACACTATCACATACTCACGTATACAATGCACTGCCGTATAAAACAAACATGTTAGATATTCCCAATTTTGATGGTTTGCTGTAGTGATTGAAATACGTTGCATCCGCAACGGCGACTGCGCACATAGCGAAAAGGCTGTAAGAATAGCCTATTTCACACGAGTTTGGCGCGCTGGTAAATTAGATGAATAAACATATAATAAATAAAATAAAGAAACCGTTCCAGCGATGATAGCTTCTAATTTTGTAGCATTGCAGTGTTTCTTATCGTGCACCTCTTTGTTTCGCGCATGTCAGCTAGTTGTTATTCCGTTTTCGTAGGCGAACACCATGGTCTTAGGATGGGCAAACCCTGAAGTCTCTAGGTGACCTCCATCACGTTTTTATCGTTCTTATGTGCCATTGCAGGAGGAGACTTCAGGAGACTATCAGACCGCCCTTCAGGTTATCGTCCGTCAAAATTAAACCCAAAGTGATACTGACGCACCAACAGCCCTTTTCGCCGAATAATCCTAATTAGGAAACAGCTCGTCGACAAGCTTGTCCTATTATAATTCTACAGTTGCTCTACTGCAAACTCTAGTTTCGTTTTATCTTTTGAATCAGATATTAACAGAAGATTTTCCCCGCTCACTACTAATTTCATTATTTTTCTACTGTCGCCCACTAGGCCCCATTGTTCTCAAGCCCGCAGATCAATAGCCGACACGATATTCTGTACTTCTAGCTCAGTCGAGCACAATAGTTCCGCAACTGAAGGGTCATGACGAAAGTATGAGAATGAATATCCCGGATCTATAAACTTGTGCTTGTCGACCATGGGAGGCTTAGTTATAGTAACATGATGTTGAAAAATTATGAAGTACAATGTTGCTATATAGTTTTGAAACTGATTAAATTTAATAACAGGACTAAATGCAGATTAAGTATAAAGAATGGTGTTAATAGAAATGAGGATCGCTTTGATGGGATCGCTGCTTGAGCACACAAAATACAAACTAAATAGAACAAGTGTTTATGTATTTGTTATAAACGAAATATATGGGCAACGTGATGGATGCTTCACAGCACAGACGTGTCTGGCCATTTTGTCGTCTTAATCTGCACATGTGCTTGCTTAAAACATATAGTTAAAACACAGAACCCATTCAGACATCCATTCTAAAGCGACCGTTGTACATCTAACACGGTGTCCAACATATAACAATAGTTGCAACATGGAGCAGCCCCTAAAGTCTTTATACATGTCATGAACAATGTTAGGTAAATGCATAGCTTTATTCGTAGCAGTTTAATTGACAGTGTACAACAAATTGCATGTTAAAATCGTGTAAGATGCTGATGTTCTACTTTACATGGCACATGTCTATAAACGACGATCGCCGACCGCCGCGCGTTCACATTTAGGAAAAATACGTCGAAAAATCCATCGAATTCAATATAATAGAAATCTAGATGATTGAATTCATACAGGTTTAAATATACCTCTTTTTTTATACGTGTCGGCTCTAGATAGTTCAGCGTCTATCTATCTCGTGTTTGGCTACGTTTCTGCTGAACAGCTCAGCCACTTCGAAACGTCGCCATCCAGCTACTGAACCATGCTGTACAAACGTTTCACATGTGACCTAACAATTTATTTAAGCCAGATATCGCTTCGTATACAATGCCTTACAATTTACTGAAACAGACCTTAATACTTTAACATTATTATATTACTTTAACATATTGCTAACAGATCAGTCTTCAAAGCCGTAAAAGCTAATATTTTTATAATTTAGTGACCGAAATTATTCTCAAGAAGAGTATATTGGAAATTCGCGTTATTGATCATAAAAAAAAAAAAAGAAAAAAAACGAAATCAGAGGACAGGTTACTCGCGCCAATCAACATGACACATAGAATCTGAAAGGTGGTACAAAACTCAGCAGCTGTCTACAATTCATTCTTTGTAAAACGTGCGTACCTATAGAGGCTGAATTTGTTTTTTTAACACTTTCATTTTACGCTACTGCCCGTTATGCTCGGAGTAGGCCAGATCGTTACTGTTGACATAAGTGTTTATTTAACCAATTTAGTCCTCAATAAACCATAAACGTATGTAACTAACCACTCGCTTTTTATTTAAATGCTAGTTAGTGACCGGGAACCAATAATAAACAGATGAAAAACACAATTTTGCGTGTCCATCTATGAATAACTGAGACCTATCCTGGATAGAACCCCTAAATTTAACTTGCATTGTATTCTAATTAGCAGAAGCAGCTGTATTTTCGTAACGATCAACAGCATCTTCTATTCTTAGGTTCAGAAAGTACAGTCACCATTTTTGAGCAGAAGCAATACCGGCTCTATAATAGAGATAATACGGTTCCAAATATGCGCCTGTAATGAACTTAAAAAATCATATATAGAGTAAGTTTCGTAAAACAGCTGCTTGTGCTTAGAGGAATAACTTAATCAAATTGCTATAAAAGAATGTTCTTAGTTTGAAACGTAAGTATAGGCACTTCTGTGGAAGAATTTTTGCATGTATTACTCCGTAAGTACCGTGGTACATCAGCTGCGCAGTGGATACGTAAAACGACCACATGGAAGATTAACAAATATTTTTCAAAGTTCACTTTTGCCTCCTTAATATTTCCGTCTGTTGAAACTTTGCATTTTTAACTTTACGTAAAACGATTTTCTACGCTCATTGTAACTGTCGAACTTAACTTTCTAACCGCACACTCAACCTTCCGTTCAAATTCTAATTTCGTCTGTCTTTAGTTAACGTCTTTTCTAGCAGCGTTTGCTAAAGCTTATGCATGCTGAATTTTATATTAACTAATAATTGTATCAATATATACCTTTTTCATCGTGTTGGAGACACTGAGACAGGTTTCAATGATTCAGTTGAAATCTACAACACAAAATAAAATATATCCTAACTTTGTCGCTCATCGATGCCGCTCGTTGAGCTTTGTATGTAACTTGAAAACAAATTATAGTGCTTTAATACCAATTCATGTTGTGGCATTGTATGGCTCCTACCGTACTACGTTGTAGGAATATAGAATAAGGTAACAAGGCTTTTATTGGTGATGCTTTTCTTTTTCATGAATCTTTCAGAGCGAGACGTCGGGTGACTATAAGCGTTCGCTAATCACTATCCTTACGGGCCAGCCGAGCATGTACTATTCGTATAACCCATGAACAGTTATAACGATACCCATCATCGTCTCAATGGATTTTAAAACAACAACTCCACATAGTACGAATGCGGCCTTGATTCAAACGTACCATTTCACCCACAGAACTCCACTACCAGATGAGACCTAACAGTTTTAAGTACGAAAAAAACGCTCGATGTACTTTTGCTTCTTATCTTGAAACATTTAACGATATACAGCCAGATATAATCGTTTACTTCTTACCGTCTTTATTGAAAAATACATCTCGGTCAAATGAACTAATCATTACTTATTACTTTATTAGTGTCTTCTCTTACTTCGGTGGAAAAACACTTTGTTTCGGTAATGATATGATGATCCAAAATGTGATGTGTCGAACTCTTCGCGTCTCCGTGCGTTTCGAAGAAAAGAATGTTGAATGTTTGCAGATAGCGAGTTCCGCTAATCGATTAGTAGATGATCCTTGTCTAAAACTGACGACGGAAATCTTCACTTACGTGGACCGTAGCACAATTCGCCTGTCTGAGGCTGCGTATAGAGAATCGTAACTATAAAACATACCCCGTTTTTTATCAATAGAGTTTCCCACTACAGCCACTTATATACGTTACTCTATATATATATATAGCACGAGACAACTCCATATAGCTTCCACTATATTTTATTTATATATATATATATATATATATATATATATATATATATATTTAATTTAAATGCTGCGATTAGGTGCGAAGCCATTCAGAGCATATGTTTAATCGTGTAGGTACGCCATTCGGTAGAATTCATATTTAAGATAAGTTATCAGTGGCGAGCCATCGGTCCAATCGGTGATAACATATGCTACCAGTATTACTGGTTTATCGTGACCATTTGATTTTTAAGTTGATTAGATAAATCCAAGCTTTCAGGTAAGACTATGCCCATGAACGCTGCAGCACAAAATGGTATACAAGCAAAAAAAATAGCCTCTAGCAGCCTTAGCTTTCGTTGCTTCCCTCAGTGAATACATAAATGATGTATACATATTGTCAGAGTAACAAAGAGTATATATATATACACGCTATCTGTGTTGTCAATTGAGAAGCTAAAAATTCCTATGAAATCAGTGCACGACAACATTTTGTTTTTCTTGTTTATGAGTTCTTTAATTGATTTTTCCATTTGTTTTTTTTATATAAGTCCAGGAAAGTTTTAAATCAGCTTCAAAGTCTAACCTCCAAAACTAGAAGCTACTTTAGAAAAAAGCCAGTGAAATTAATAATCTAACATAGAACTTCACACTGCTAGTATATTAGATGTAATGTTATCGTCATTTTCGCAGTAACAAAATGGACAATCTGCAACAATCCGTTGCTAATTGTTACTATTGTTTTCGAAAGCAGCCTAAAATTTCAACGTATACAAACATCCGGCATTCCAAAGCAGGGTTACTTCGGAGTGCGTATTCGGGCGCAAGCTTCTGTGGCGGCAAGTGTTTATCAGCACTAAACACTAAGGTCATTGTTAATAAAGTACCATACTTTAGCTTAACAATTCTAATATATAGCATTTCGTTTATTGGAAAACATGTAGATTGTTGAAACCAGTGCTGTTGGCAGTACAGCTTAGGTATGAACTACATAAAAATATAGAACCACTTCTGAAGTTCACCCACTGAAGTTTCACACTACCTCTAAGGGCTACAAAATCTTGCAATCCACCGTCCACCAACTTCCACAAAACGTGCGTGGTGATGAAATCATTCGATGCTTGAGAACGAATTTAGTGTTCTAAAGAATAATAGAAAACAAATATTGAACTAAAAGTACACAGTTTATTCATCAGATACGATGGTGCAGGGCTTCTGTATCATAACTTCAGTTCTTCTTTATCTATGATGTAGCTTACACGAAAACCGGCATGGCCCAATAACATGTGATCAATGATGCTATGTTTCACAAATTTGGCCTATCTAATTATGTATTTATACTCTGTTATGGATGTGTGTCTTTAACTGGCTGTACTGTTATATATATATATATATATATGTATATCTGTATGTGTGTACATGTGTATTTTGTGTGTGATTGCGAAACCGTTATATACAATTTACAGCAGTCATGATTTTGGTGCTGTGGCACAGTAGTTGGTATATCAGCCTGTGCCTATTATACCACACGTAAAGAGTCTCGTATCTGTTCTATTTAACTAAATACTAATCATAATAATACCGGGGCACAACATAATTCGGTGGTACGACGATTACAGTAGGTATACTTCTAATCATCATCATTAGTTGCATCCTAAGATCGTTTTTGTTTACTTCACACCTCTACCTCCATAATATTCACATATGTGCTGCAGCACGTTCTACATTGGACGAAATGCGATGCCCACCCACAACTGCTCCAGACCCAGGTAGCCTTGAAACGATTACAGCTTTGTTATTTTTTTCGGCCGAATGATAGGATTATTTTTCATTAATTCCTGTTTGCCTAAATCCCGATAATCGAAGTCACAGTCGTGATCCTCGGGGTTACGATGTCTCTGGCAGAATTCGGAACCGCATCTGCAAGATGGTGCAAACTTCTCTGTTAGACTCATCCTCAACCATTCTTGACTTACTGTCTCACCGATTCAGTCATCATCAACAGGCAAACAGCGAACAGCCACCGGCTTAGGGAATGTGGGTCATACGTCTCCTACATAATCCTGGGCTAGTTTCTGTTGGATGTTCAACATAATGGCTCAGTTCTCAAAACGTTCTTTAATGTTCATATCAACAAATCAAAACGCAAAAATCAATAGAAGACGAAAACTTCATCTCACCTGCACGTAAATGATACTAGTTTTAATTTCCCTTTACATACGGGGCAGCGTTTGACTGACGAAAGCGACGTACGGGGCTTTTTCGCCGGCGTATCATCGCTGTGCTGTTCCTTAAGGGGCACCGCAAGGTTACTAGCAACGCCATGTGCTGGATTACCTTCCGCTTCGGGTTTCTGGAAGAATAGGAACGCGCCTTTATAGCTTAGCTATGAGCATTCTCTAGTTAAGTAACTTCAGTAACTTTTAGGGGTTGCCAACACATGCTTAACGGATAGCAGCGAAAGCATAGAATAAATTGCTGCAGAGTAAGCACCCGTACCTCTATGCCTTTGTGTGCTTACCGAAAGTATCCATAAATACCCACACTGGCTTACAATCTAACAATTTACAAGTATTTTACGCTGCGATAGCTAGTGAACAAAATGAAAAATACTCCATGAGAATACACCTTAAGGTTAATTGCGACTACAGCCATGTTTAGGTGTCGTTTCCAAACAGAAAAACGTATTTTTATTTATTTAGCAATAGCCTTCGGGTTTAAACCCCAAATAGAGAGCTAATAAAGGCTTAGTAATGGAGAAACTTCAAAATATTTTGTGCCACCATTTCAGAAATAGAACAGTACATCTAAGAACGTAGTTAAAGATAGGATTCACAGAATAATTGCTGGGAGAAGGAGCCATGCTGTAATTAAGTAAAATCTTTAAGATATAGGGTTTGTAATAGGGAAATATTTACGTAAATACATTCAATGGTTTTTTTTGGCTGCTTCTGAACAGATGTATCCTTAATCTATGGATTAATCCATCGACGCTGCGCGATCTAACATCATAAGCTTCGAAATTTTCTATAGAAAACATTCTGAAGTTCCAATAAAAATTCCCACGCTGCATCTGCGCGCCCACAGTGTCTTTCACTTAACTGTGTTAACCGTCCTGCTGCGCCTACAATTAAAATACGTAGAAACTGAAGAAAAAACCATATATATAATTGTTACCAATCCAGTCAACACAAGTCATTGAATTGAGGAAACAGCTCAAAGGGTTCCGATGGTAATTCTATAAGGCAGTCGCCCAAGGCAGGACAATTGTCTAACCTAATGAAGACCCACCTGACGTTTACGAGAGCGTTCGGTTGTTGAAGCCGCAGGTGAAGTGCTCACTGATGTCCCGAGCTGTTCTGACGAGTCCGACATTCTCATGTGATACGCCGAAAACTGTGCAGAGAAGTCTATTATTTTTTAGAGGTTCAGGGGCTCCGTTCTGAATAATATCAGGGGACAGATATTGCCAATTGCTTTTTTTTTCTACCTATAGAAAGTTTGGCAATTTCATGAGTTATTCTGGACCTTAGACAGAGGAGTAACACCCAAGCATCTTGAATCCAGTTGGAGATCGCCGAAACGCTGACGAAACGTGAAAATGGTAATACAACTTTTGGCAACTTAACGATAGCCACCCTTGGTATTCAATTAGGTCAGTCCTAAACAGAGCGTGGTCGATTTGCACGTCGTCACTGGTTTTTTTTTCCCTTTCGCTTTTTATACGCAAACGCCACGCAGTGCACCTGCATTGGATCTGCAACCTAAACTATTAGCACGTTGACGGAGCTTAACAGAGCCCATGTACGTTATAAAGAGCACAGTTCTAAAGAGCAAAACCAATCCGACTACAACAATGACCAGCTTCTTCTATAGGCCAATTCGAAGGGCCCGCGGCCCGCTGCTAGCTTTATACAGCATTATCAGAGGTAAATATTGATATTTGATCCATTTATACCGTTTTGTGTATCTATGTAACAACAAAGCTGGCTTTTTGTAAAACCTTGTATTTTCGAATTTTTCGGATTAGTGGTGTCGACGATTGTAGCTACATGGCGAACACTGACGGATTCGACTCGAAAGTATGTAATGTGTGAAAACTACGGAGGCAACTATAAGATTTGTGCATTGATTTTATTTAATAAAAATTGAATAATTATCATCATGAAAAAGGAAGTTCCTGCGTAACATGAAAATAGTTTGCTTTTTGGTTAATTCAGTGGAATTCAAGTAGTAGTACTTTCGATTGGAGCTATCACGCATTATTTCAGTATAGTACATCATTAATAAAGACCGTAGTTCCGGGTGTTGTAACATGGTATGCAACATGCGCATACTGATAGATTCACTAGGTTATTTTGGAAAAGTATTTAAGAACAGCTGTTCCTATACTGTTATTATTATTACTATACTATACTATATAATTGCTGCTGGGTTGATAATCGGCTTCAAATAGGTCAATCTTAAATCCTTATGCACACATGGCCTGCCGAATATCCTTACTTGAGAGACTCGTATGGCACAAGCCGAGAAGAGTTAACATTACGATTTTAGGAATTATTTCGCCAATTTCTAATAAATAAAGAAAAGTAAAAAAAGATACAGACGCAAAGATGTAATACGTTTCAATCATGTCACAACTATAGTAGATACCAACTGCCCAAAAAATCAAAGCACCCTTTGTTATTCGAAAAACGCTACAGATACTTCGCTACGTGCGTTGACCTATTATTTTTCGTAGACCTAAACAGTTAACTGAATGTAAAAGCGATTTTCGTGCATAAACGATAAACGCGTATTTTTTTGCGTCAACTGAACATTTTTCCCGGTATATTAGCTTCGGCACTTTAGAAGCAATATGCTTAGAGCAACGATCTAATGAATCTTCGTGAGCGGGTCTTTGTTGCAATACGGCACTGGTGTTAACAAAAAAAAGTGCCAAATCCTAAGCTCGTATTTAATCCTTCCGATAGACATTCACATTCAGTCGGTCTAAACCACCGTTGAACAATGACAATTCATTTCTCAACTACCGTTTTGCCTAACGAATCCACACCTTCACAATAGGCTCGCAACATTCACTACACGTTACTGGTTACCAATGTTGCGCGAGCCACCTAAGTTGACAAACTTCGCACTTAGAGTAGATCTGCCTAATAATTCCAATTATTAACTCAGGTTAAAACTGATCAATTGGCTCTGTCCAAAAAACCTGCGGCCTGTTGTCACCCTTCTGGGAGGCAGGTCATCTCTCAATCAAACGGCATAACACGGCACGTAAAGAGCATAAAATTTTAAAGCATTGGGGAAATCGGCCGAATTAGTTATGTTTGAGACTAACTTTATGGTCAGCTTTGCTTGCCTTTCAGACAAAAATTGCTTTTCTAATTGTATAGAGCAAGTGCATGTACATTGCCAGCCACGTGCATGTGCTGCTCAACACCGAACTCAAGATAATTCTATTCAGAATAAAACTACGTGAGTCCTAACAGATACAATAACCGCACAGGTACAATTTGGGGTAACTATTAGTTTCGGTGCGTGTAAAAAAAACAATTTAGCATGCTCGTTTGGCCCACGTTACCTTTTTAAGTTAAATTTTCCTACACCTTGCGTGCTTTCGTCAGGACGTTTGCACGATCTTTGCAAGTAGAAATACTCCACAGCAAACAGTTTGAGTTAAATAAGAAAGAAGTTTGAAGCCATATTGGAGGGCTACCGAAAAGAGTTAACAAAAAGCACTTACATTACACTTATGTACTATATGTAATAAAATCCCTTGCATCCCGGTTACAAAACTATACGAAACTTTTAAACCCTTAAATTCTATTATTTTTCAATAAAAAATAGTTGATGAAAAGATGATGTTAGTTGATACACATTTTAGCAGACGAAAACTAAAAATACAGCGATCTTCAAGCTACTGCAAAATCTGGGCGTTTTGGTTTGTAGAGATATCCTTTGAAAATGCTCTTATATACAGCTCTTGTTCTCTGCCCAACCCCAAAACAAATAAGCACGATTATTGCAATAGATCAAAGCAGTGACGAAAGCAAGAATTTTAATGTTTCGGCAAAAGGAAATTTGCAGAGAATTTGTAATAAAAACCTTTGCGTAATTTAATCGATCTGGCTGTAATACCATAATCTGCAAACAAGCCTCTTAAAACGCTCACGTGTCCCGAGACGTTCGGCTCTAGAATCTTAATAGTATATAATATCTGACTCATGCATGTATTCGTAAATATCATGAGGTCGTGGCTTATAGTAATCGATAGAGTCGCGATAGCGTTGAGATCTAATACTCCTATTGTTCTAGCACATATAGATCTGTTGTTTTGATCGATTTTACAGGATGCAAAGTGCGACACAAGCCGTGAAACAAACAGGTTCCTATTATAGATTTGCCTCTATAATTGCAGACGACAACTTGGGTCAACGGCGTTAGCAAATCTAGTACGACGTCTTCACTTCATAATATGCATGATACGTAACGAAAACAATTTACCTTTGAAAAATCCTGCTGTCTTCGACTCATTCCATAGAGGCTCAACATGGAGAAGGTGAACGTCTTTCTTATTTACTTCTAACCCAGTCTCCCAGGAAGATTACTCTAGATTTTATAAAAACACTAAATGGTAAACCTAAGTGTCCATTCACAACCATTTATGAAGCCAAACGTAAAATTAGGAATTATCACTTGAGGACTCGAAGTTTTTAGAATTAACGCTTAAAAACGTCCTTCATTCAAGATAGTTCCGTTGTTTTGGTGTTAACTACCTAATAACCAGCTTTAGGTAACTTAAAAGCACCTTTCGCGTGGAGCACTACGTGGCTACGGTGCGCTTGTAAGTTTACTTTTATCAATTTCAAAAGGAATATCGCCAGACTGATCAGTTGTACTGGGGTTGCGTTCGCGGTAATGCCTATGTCGTACGGAAAAATCTTTTGCGAACTTGTCTAAAACCCACAAATCCTTGTTAGAATAACACTTTACGCATGACCAAATGAGTAAAAACTTCGTGTTTGACCACATTACCAAACTCGGCTGAGGTTCGTTTTCTCATTCCAATAATAATATATATTTAAGTCAAATTGTCGGTTGATAGACAAATGGGAGATGGAAATGGGACACAACATAAACGCAGATGTAGGTATGGTAAATAGACAACAAAACAAACGCGAATGTCTTGACTTAGGTAGCTAAGTCGTCAATTGGCAATGAAGAGTCCACGAGCAAGAGGATAATTAACCAAAAATACATGAATCAATGATTACGTCAGTGTGAAGCCATCGAATGTTACTAATCTCAACAAGCAGGCGTTTAGCTATACCGTTACAGCTACGGTCGAAGTAATTGGGTAATGCGCACTTCCACCTGTCGGAGCGGTGACAGAAGTTGTATACCTGATCGCGCGTACTACAACGGAGTAGAGCTGCCGCGAAGCTATTACAGGGTGCGTGAGCTGCCTTTAGGCCTCAATAGACGACATGTCCAGTAAGGTCAATCAAAATGACGTGGACCAACCGCTAGGTGCTGGGGTCTATTGCCGTTGTGGGTTCCACAGTCTTAGCAGAGTTATGTCGAAAAGTCCTGTGTTTCAGCGGCGCCTTGCCGAACCACGATGCGTGTCAAATGCCTTTAAACTAACTCATAGCCGCCGAAGACCCAACATTCGAAATGGGCATCGATTTCGTGGGCGAATTGAGGAGGCGTCACGGGTGGAAGCCGAATTAATGACCTCTATCGAGAAATTGCAGGATGTGAATTCTCTACTGATCGCTTATGACAATCTACGTAATAGCGATGAGCAACATGAAATAACACCTAAAGATAGGGAAGCACATCGCGAAAACATGAGGCAAAGAGAAGTACTGGTAGGTAAAATATCTGATCTTCAACGAGAACTTAAAGGATTGTGGAATCAACGGAGGCACCTCGTGTAAACGTGCCATGGATCGCACATGATTTTGCTCTCCACGTATGCTTAAGTTAAGACAAATAAAATAATGTACACAGATACGTAAAGAGTATTCTGAACCAGTTACTCTAGTGTTATATATTAACTGAATATAAGCGAGCAAGACGCACACTTCGCTCGTGTGTGTAATGCAATAGGAGCTGCATCTTTGTGGAAAACAGGCACGGTATAGTTATACCTCTTCGGTAATATCTGCCTTAGTAGAACCTCTTCGGTAATATCTGCCTTAGTAGACTAACAGGTTACCCTACTATTACTATTATTATTATCAGCATCATAGTAATTAGTTGGGCCGGATTTTAGCCACGGTATTAAGGCTCGAGATACCTGAAGGATTGGACAGTGTTTCCTGCATTCACTTTTAGGCCATAAATTGTATCAGGAAGACGAGTTAGAGATCTGGTACGAGGATAACTCGCCCATGTTTTATGAAACAGTATGAAAGCTAACTGGGTACATTCCAATATATATAGATTCTGTACCTGTGAAATCATCACACATCGAAAATGCTCGTCTAGGTTAATTCCAACTCTACGAAACAAAGTGGTTTATCATACATAAAAGTAATTAAATATTAAAGTTCAACAGTTCTTCTTCGGCGTAAAAAGCAACCATGAATTTGGCTTCGTTTCATTGCAATTCAAACTCAGTAATGCCTACATTTTGTTACCTTCCATCAATAGCGAACGCCTTTTATCGAAATGTGTACAGATGTACATGTTTGTATCAATAAGAAACATATGATCTGACCTAACGAACGTTTCGCGTTTAATATCATTCAAAAAGTGTCATGTTTATATCAATCGTTTTTATACGTCTCCTTTGAAAGCTCGAAGTTCTTTGTTGTTAGTTGACGCGTTGGAGATAATATAGCGTATTTGTCATTTTACGTACGTTGATCGTACGTAAATCTCATATTCGACGGCACTTCTCAGCAGACACAATACTAGCTTGTTTTTACTAAGGAGCTATTTACTATCGTGACCAAATACAGAGTTGTGGCTTCCCGCGTAACTCTGTTTCATGCGATAACTACTAAATACACTGTTAGCAATATATATCATTGCATTTCTGTAGCAAATGAAAGCAGCTTCCGATTATTTTTCTGTGGCTTCCTTACTGCGTTTAATATTGAACTGTCTTTAATATTGAACTTGTCAGAAAAAGAATAACCGCAAATAAAAGACGATAGCTTCCGTGCGATCCAAGAAATGTGCTTACTTCACCTAAAAATCCATGCACAAACCCTAAACAACTACCTGCGAGTAAAAATTGAGGCAAGACCAACCTTTTACGGCACACAACGCTTTCGTCACGATTCGAAGCTTCTTCGACTCACTGCATCATGAGCCATCCTCAGCGTCGTCGGAGCTCATAGCATTCTGAGGTACCTGCGAAGCTCAACCATAACCAGTGACGTACATGTTACTAGCCGTAAGTTCTGAAGTTTAGGTAGAGAAATCTGACTCACTCTTAAGCTTACCTTGTACTTTGCCCACTGATAACGCTAAACGTATGGCTGGTAGTAAATATATAAATATACAATGCTACACATGACAGCGTAGCCATGATGGGGCTCGATTCGATTTTGTACACGTACACGTGTCTTGCGGTTTCGTCCTGCTGCTTGCTCCTGTTTAGGCTTCGCGGAAACATTTGTCGTCTCGATTTATCGAGTACGGTCTGTGACCGTTCCGCCTATCTTTTTCGTTTCGTTGTTGGAAGACGCTTTAATTAGGAGATCCAACGCAAGAAATGCTGGAAAACGGACAGTCTATATATCATAGTATTCGACAGTAATTGTGCCTAGCAGCGTCCGTATACGTGTAAAATGCTAGTAATTCCACAATAGTTTTCAGCAATAACAAGAAGTCGATACTGAAGGGGTTCGAGTAACTTGAAGGCGAGTACTACAAAGCACCGTGAGAGTCCATTACGAATTTTCTTCCTGATCAGAGTCTTAAGTTAGTCAAGTAGCTAACGTTGTAAAGGAATCGTTTTACGCTGTTTCTGCTACCTGTAATGCCCGCCGTAACTTCGACTAAGCAACGCCTGCAAATAATTGTGTCCTGTCTTTTTTAATAACCGACTCTCCCTTGTCTAATCTCACGTTGCCCCTCAATCTGGTTCTTTTATGAAAATTCGATGCGCCATACAAAAAATGTCGTCTTATGAATATAAGCAGGAAGCTCCAACGAGCAATAGCACTATGGATATGTAAGTCGCTAGTACGAAAATGGTTGCTAAATTCCCGTATATAACGAAGAAGTTCGAACAACCTTTAGGAAAAACAGAAATAATAGTAAAGTACAGCGGTATATTTTCTACACGATAAATAATGGCTGTAGTTCAGCTTAGAACACGAGGTATCATTATTTAGTCACACTGTAAACCTTTAGTACGAGCAGACATCTTCTATCCCTTAAAATGGCTTTTTCCGGAACGTTTTTGACGTGACTTAGTTTTTACTAATTCTGCGATTATCTTTAGCCCATACAAATTACCTATCTTGCTGTCTGTAATTAGGCAATGAATGTAAGTAAATTCGACTTTCCTTGCCGTTATTCTCTTCGAGCAAACTTTTCCAGATTCGTAATTAATGAGAACAAACTTCCCTAGAAATTTTGTTTACCTTCAAATTTTATTAGTGTATTTGCCCAATACATCAATCGAAACTTTATCAGATACTTCCTTTTACTGTAGTCCTTAGGAAGTTCGGCAGGTGGGCGCGGAGGTGGGAGCAGTAGAGACGGGGGTGTGCGCCATAGCGGTATTAGATAGGCGCAAGAAAAGAAGCAGCGTAGTGGGCCACTGTTATGGACAACACTTACAAGTACAGTGTGAAGAACGCTAAGATGGCGGGCAAAAAGAAACAACGTGCTAGTTACAAATAACGACAACGGAACGGTGTGATGAAAAATTGCGGTTTGAGCGGTGGCGGCAATCAAAGGGGTAAATACATTCCGTTGCTTATGTGAATGTTGATGAACTAAGATGATGCAAACGATGCCCTTTTTCACAGCGATTCAGACGTCTTTCGTTACGTCTGCAGGCGAAGGTTAGAACTATCTCTGCATCTCTGCTTTCTATTTGTTGAATGTGAAATAGCAATGGTAAATGATTTTAGTATAACCTATAAACCTTTTAAGTTTCAACCATAATCCGTATCAGATTTATCCGTATCGCATTTACTTTGCGAAACACCGCTGTCAAGTCTTATGTTTGGGAAATCAGTGGTGGTTTTAAGAAACTGTAGCAGATGATCACCGTATTTCGTAGATGGTTTAGTAGGTGGATAACGTTTTTACGAAGATGGCGGCCGCCGGTACTAAGTACGCTACAAAATAGAATACAAAATTACAGTATAGTGGTTTGAATTACACTATGATTTTTCGAAGCGCTTGAGGTAGAATAAACGATCTTCACCTTCATCTTATAAAAAGCCTAATTAATCAATTTGCACATAGCAAACGTCTGGGCGTTTCTAATAACAACAACACGCGGACTGCTGAACAGATCGTATCTGACTTTTCAATCGAAAAAACATCACCACTTAGAAATTGAAATAAAACCAGTCTAGAAGTTAGGTTAAACTATAATTTATATATAATATAATATATAATAATCAAGCTCACTCTTATTCAACTCTTTTTGGCACCTTGTCGAACATTTTCGCAGCGAGCCTTCCTAAAAGCGACAATCAGTTGGATGCTACGTCGCCAATAACATAGATTTAAAAAATATATATATACTAAAATTTAAAAAAATACATAAAAATTAATAAAATTGCTAAAAATATTATTTTAGAAGTATATATATATTAAACAACTGGTCTTGAGTGTTTTTTTTCGAAGATTGTACGATTTGTTCTAGTGATCAAAAATATCTTAATGCGTTACCAAAGATACAGCGGTATAGAGCATTTTTTAATACGTTCCTGGACCGGTAGACTTATCCTAATGAAAACTGCGTTAATTATTGCCAGAAAGGCTTTCAAACGAAAACTATCTTTCTAGCTTTTACCTACGTATCTTAAGTTTGTCCTATTGACCTTAATTCAGAGAGACTTGTGGTTTGTATAATACTATAATAACATAAAAACAACATGTCTAGAAATTACTTGGTGACTGTAATGCATTTTTTCCATTCATGCAATTCTTTATGCAACAATTTAATGTCTCTCCTGTATATATAGTATAATATTAATTTTCACGCACTGCGCAATGAGCTGCGCTTAGAGTTCATCATCTCTTCTGAGACGTTGCCATACTCGATAGCATAAAAGGAGGAAAATTATGACCTGGTCGTCCAACCCTGTATTACACGTACATACGCAGCGATGTTGCTAACTAGCAGTACCTTAATAAGCGATGACTTTTCAGCCGGAATCGACCTGAAAACAATGCCTGAATGCCCGTGTTCAAGTGAATGGTCTCAGATTCATAGCTATAGGTTTAGTTTTCTTCTGACAACACGATTTCGCTCGTACCACAAAATATTATATATGCCTTTTGGCATTGTCCAAAAGGGATTTCCTTCGACTACGAAGCGCACGTTCAAGTGCTCTGAACTTGTGTATATACGGAAGCACAAACTAGCGTGATGCCTCAGCTTCGCCTATAGCTTAGCTTTTACCCGGCTCCATTTTTGGATAGCAAGATTAAATACTACAATGCTTCCGTGCATAATGACTTCAGAAGCTGGCCATCAGATCTTGCAGACTCCACATTCGAATTTAAAATAACTAAATATGAACAACATTTTCGCCAGTAGTACAACTGACTGGGGCACGGCATTTCCATGTAAGAAATAGCAAGCTGCTCATTTGTCTCAGGACCCTTATTTAGGTGCTTGCATAATCAAAACTAGCAAGCAATGGACTTTCGACTATAAAACAGGAAAATAAAAACATCTGGAAGTCGTCAGAAATTTTCAGGATGCTTATTGTAAAAACAGCTGACCTTAACCAAACACGGCCTGGCAGAACTATAGTGCAAGACTACAAACGTAAAGGAATGCAAGATTATTGTATTCAAAATTGCTGGCATATTTAAATAGATCTTTTCTGTAGAAATACCTTGAGTTCTCACAACCTTGTGTCTTGTAATTTTTTAACCTCAGGTTTCGTCTAGACCCCTGACGCCCTAGACCCCTGAAGACACCCTGGACGCATCGTCATCACCTCTCGACTGCAACGCTAGAATCCCGATTGTGGTACTGAAATACCGCTGGACTGCTATTTATCTCAGTGCTAAAATACGCCTAATAATGCCGGGTTTACAAACTAAAGCTTTTAATGATTGCATCCTACTTAAAAGCCAAAGCCTCCAATCATGGTGTCTAAAGGGCACTTTCGTTGAATGCTGCAGAGCAACCAACGGGTTTTCACCATACCTCCCATCTATTCCATACGTTTTCGAGTGGGGGTTGCACACCTATGTTCCTACTCCTAAAAACGCTACCGCTTATAGATGCAATGTAGAAAAAGCTAAATGCCAATAGTGAAAACCGCCTGTCTCCCCTCCAAGGCACCCGGAATCAATCTAACGCCATTGATTTATTATTATTATTATCGATATTGTGCCAAATCAGTATAAACATCAATTCTTAAGAAAAACTACTAAAACCGATACTTTTACTGGCACTATCTGAGACAAGACGTCTCTGTAGAAATCGAGTTTGTTTCGAGCTTTATCAAAACAGTTCCAAGATAACGAATACTAAAAACATCTAATACACATGAAATATATGCTAAAAAAAAAAATAGTTATAACGAGTACGTCTTGTACTTGAGTGAACGACAAAAGCTTATCGTCGTGGCAGCTCATTAGTAATCACAGTCCGCAGAAATGCGTCGCCAAGATGTTGCATTCTGGCAGAAATTATCACATCGCAGGCTATCTAAACAACAGTAGGTACCCTCAGGGCATTTGCATTCGGGATGTGTACAATCCCGGTAGTTATTCCTAGCGCACGAGGATGGATACTCTAAGAAGGAACCAATCCGACAAACGACAAGGAACTTCGGACCTGTTTTAATATCATATACAGAAACAATCACATGCGCAGAAATAGTTGTTAGAAGCGCGCAATAACATTCTCAACATGCAATATCATGCATGTGGTGCCTCTAGGCTACCTCAATACATGCTTAGTACCTAACTCTTCAGCGTATCGTGGGCCTTTCCGCTTATCAATCAAGTAGTAAAAAATATTGACCTACTAGACTGTGCCATTGTCGGAAGCCACCTAATAGCTACACCTAAGCCCGAGTCGGAAGTATTCACTGTATTTCCATCAATGATTAATTGCTTTCCTATGACAGATATTCAAGTGAATTCCTTTTCGTCACAATGAACCTATTGTTTATACATAATTCTTACGATTCTATTAAGGTTTCCGCTGCCCCTCATGCTTATCGCGGCTAATACTTTGGGCTTGTAACACTATAATCCAAATATATGGCCGAAACAGTCATAAGGCGTTTTTAGCTAAGGGCATGGTAACGATGTTATACTACGTTCGCTAATCGGGCTCCATATGATACGTGAAAATACTGCGCAAGCGATTATTTGCTTCTTAACGGTATACAATTCTCGGCTGTGCTATTAAAAGTAGAAATCTGGCTTGGATGTTTATAGGTCGCCGGTGGCCGGGTACAAAGTAGGGTGTCTGTAGCCCGATATTTCCTTATCTTTGCTGTCGACAAATATTTATCGTTGATTATGAAACGATAAATATATGGGCAGGTCAGGGTGAAGCGTGAAGCCTGCCAGCACTCACTTGGGGAAGTGACCCAGTGGCGAAACTGTATTGTTTGCGGAACCGGATAAAGCCCTGCAAGGAACGCATACAAAATCGAGCTGCGATTTCCCCTGTCAAAACCACTGCCACTAAATCTTCTGCAGTTATCGCTGGCCCTGAGTCCTTACGACATGGTCGCTGAGTAAAAGCAATAGCTTATTTTTTTCTCTTTATTTTTTCGAAACGTCCGTAAGGCCTTCACTATGAGCTGTTATAAGACATGCGTTGAATACACGTGAGACGTTTTTGCCACCAGCTTACTCAGCATCTCGAGAAGGCTCTCTCTCATGGCTTCTATGATAGATGAAAATTTTACCTACGTGGCTAACTATCTTTATCGATAGCTCATGATATAATAACACGACGGCCGACATAATATCATATGGGAATATAACTCACCAATGACAAAAGGGACAGCAAGTACGGCGAAGATAAAGATACTCTGTCTCATATTCCTTTCAGTGTTTTGCTCCAATCACATCCATTCAGCCTTGGAACGTATTGACGAATTTCAGATGTTTCAATCGATGCCCATAACTACGAGGTATCGTAGTGCTATTTCTCTACAACACCTGTTGATATTCGGACTCTGAATAACAAGATCCTTTACAAATATTATTAGATCCTTTATACCCCATACGACCCGCAGATCGCGAATCGCAGCCTCTATGTCTAACCGCCATCTAAACACGCACAGAGGATCTATTGTCGTGCAGTGCGATCACAGACTTGTATGACAAACCTATATTAACAATTCTTAGGATTTACAATATTTTGAAAATTACATTTAGTGCTTGATACATTAACGACCATTTCATCGGAATGTTAGCTCTGGTTAAATGAGAAATAATTCTTACAATGCAAGACAATTGTGCCAGCTTCGTTGCTGACATAATTTAACAACAATCTATCGACAGAATCTAAAAATCTAGCGCCATTCCTGAAGGCAGCCCAAGCACCGCCTACAGGCATGCGCCTACTCATCATAAAAAAAGGTGCCTTTTTTGTTAAATCAAAACCGTGTACCAGTAGGTGTTACTAATGATGGTAATTTTCAATTGTCTACCACGAGCTTCCCTCTAATTCGTTGCAACAATATAACTGTGTCTAGCTTTACTTGCATATGAAGGATATTTGTATAGGCCCTAATAGTAAAAGTTCTGTTACCATATGTGGCTTAAAAGTATTTTTTCAACCGTAAGCAATAAAAGTATCAGGCTGATCCGGCGGATTTTCACACTGAATACGTTTTGAACAATGACGTTTTTCGGTAGAGGTGCTCCCTTTTATTTTCTTTAGCTATTTTTCCTTGTGACTTTAGCAGCTTCAGAACAGTCATATAGCTACGATTCGCGTATGTATTTTCTTTATTTATCGTTTGTGGAGGCAAATCGATAGTAGGATATGCTCATTCGCCCGTTGCCCTGCTTAGGCCGTAGAAGGTCCACACGGAAAATCGCATGGAGTCTGATCGGGAGCATGAGAAGGTCAAAACCAACATCGGATGTTCTTATACCCACAGCTCAGGAAGTAATCGAAAAATGGCGATCAAGTCTAGCATCGCCATCAAGTAACCCGACCGCGTGTTTTCGATTACCTTGCCAACAATTTATGAATCTTTTAGGAAAGTCGGAAGAGCGGGCTAATTTTCCGTTTTCTCTCTCCAATATCCACTGCAAGTGATTCCTCTCCGGCTGGCGGTATTAAACCATTCCTTGTCTATGGCGACCGTATGCTTCAAGCGGACTTTTTGTTGATTAAAGTCGTGCAAATTGTCTATGGAAAGCACTGCACGCATCTTTAACTGACTTTGATTCAGTTTACTAAGGACTCCTTTTTCGCTTAGTTTTCGCATTTTTATTACTGGAGCTGTGATTCATTAACATGCTACATGTGAACTGTCGAAAACCATTCTGGATTGCCACAATATGTCCTCCTTCTTCGAGCCCTATTTTCGGCCCTTTCTACTTCCATGAAAACCATTCTGGATTGCCACAATATGTCCTCCTTCTTCGAGCCCTATTTTCGGCCCTTTCTACTTCCATGAAAACCATTCTGGATTGCCACAATATGTCCTCCTTCTTCGAGCCCTATTTTCGGCCCTTTCTACTTCCATGAAAACCATTCTGGATTGCCACAATATGTCCTCCTTCTTCGAGCCCTATTTTCGGTGGCTTTCATGTTACAACCCACTTTTTTGTTTTTCAAACGTTTGTCCTATTTTCGGTGGCTTTCAATGTTACAACCCACTTTTTTGTTTTTCAAACGTTTGTCCTATCCACGTGCTACGCTTTTGTTTAAAGCCACCTGAATTAACGTTTACACCTATTTTCAACGAGTTTCTAGAGTTCTATAATCTTCGAGCAACAAAACTTATTCGCTGAACGTCGATCCCCAAAATTAAAACATATTGTTCTCGGAACCTGCTTTCCATGCAATAAACTGAACCGTTTTCCTTTCGCAAGAGGTATCTACGGAAGGTCATGAGTATTTACCAATTAGGTTTTGCCTGCTAGCCATTCTTTTTCTATTCGATAGGTCGTACATGGAAATATACAACCCATAGAGTACGAAGGTATTCATTGCAGAAAATTGTTTTTTTTTTTTTCTACATATGCTCTTTATTTAAAAACACAGTAATAGCATGAGCAGCCTAGTAGATAAAACTTCGAAAACACAATACCATTGCATTTACATATAATTCGTATGCTCCAGTCAATATAAGTTCGGAGTCAGTACCACTGAGCTGATGGATATTGCATCAGGGTTCGGTAGGATCGGCTTTTTACGTTTAGGTAAGGAACAATTGAGTAGAAAGCGCTAGGTACGCTTACTCGGACGAAGAAATTATCAATGTTATTGTTGAATACATCTTGAGCTACCTCAATCAACTGTTCAGGTGGTCACATAGCGATTTGCTTAGGTGTAGTTTGTATGCGTTTCGAGATAATCTTAGAAGAGAAGCAATTCCTTTGCTACCGTCAGGCAACAACTTTCCATTGGAGTACTGATACCCAATGCCATGTTTTTAGAAATCCTTTTTGAAGCAGCTTAATTACATGAACATATGGACGGAGGGCAATTTGGTGGTCTGTGTTTACAGTTGGTAGTGCACCAGTTATCCATTCCGGGCTGTGTTGCATAGCGGCCTATAGCGACGCACTTTTTGTTTGGGCCCGGCAATGGAAGAGGTCTAAAACGCAAAAGGTAAACTTATGTAATTTTCTATTATATCAAGTAATGATAGTGATAATAATCATATATCATTTAGCAAGTAAGTTGCAATCCTATATTCTAAAACTGAGGTGTCGTCTAGTAGGACGTGTCACTAGTGGTGGGTAGGATGTTGAAGAGTTACAGTCGAGTGGCCATACGGACCTCGTATTGACAGTTAATTAACAGCTGTTTTCCCGACAAAGATATTAGTACATGTTTAAATTTAGGCCGCATTGAAACTGCCGCCTGCACATAGATGCAGTAAAAAAAGGAAATATTTTTGAACACAAGGATTTAAATGGCTTAGTTTCTGAGTGTAAAAAGCCAGAGGCCGTTAAGAAAGGTTCTACAAGAAAAACGGTTACCGTCGAAATAGTACGTTCCCGTACTTGCTGTCAGTTGACAATATTGATTAGTATGCCGAAGTATTCAAAGCAAGCGAATTGTTTATATTTTTACTGTTCTCGCTAAGATTTGGGTTAATGCACTTACCTAAAAGTAGAAAATTGTGGTTTAGGTGAAGGTAAGGGGAAAGGTGGTTGTCCACCTGTAAACAAAAAGAAACATCAATTTATGTTCCTTTGGTTATACGTCATACTCTTTTGAGTTGTTAAAAATGTAAGAACCAAAGTGCTTTTATGCGTGTCAGTATGCAGAAGCTCAATGAGGAAAAGCGCTGGTTGGCACTTGTTCATGCACGTTCAGTTGGGGTTAATGATACATACCGTTGTCTTTTGTGATGGAGACATCTGCACAACCACGGAACGTTTCCTGAGGCCCACAACCCACCTCCTGGATACCATCATCACAGGTTCCCCAATTGTTGCCTAAAAATGGTATTTATTTCGTAACTCTATATTAAATTAGCCGTGCATTGTCAAATCCTCAATACAGCGTATTGAGTGACCGCGCATTTGATTGCATGAAGCTAAAGAGTAGGTAATCTGTGTCTACACGATATTCGTAAATAAGTAACAATAAAAATTTATCATTGTTACTATGATTTAAGTGACTTACTGTGTTAATTTCCCAGAAAGTAAATGTACTATTATTTTATACTCTATATATATATATATATATATATATATAAAACATTGTTGTCATAAAAAACTATCTACCCTACTATTTGATATAATATTTTGCTTTTCATCTGAAGATACCTAGAAAATAAAGTGAGTTATACATATCGTATGTACTAAGCATCGAATTCTAAGTTTGATATTATAAAAGTAACACTTACCAGCAGTGTACGTCCATTGGAAGACACATTGTGTGCACGAAATATTCGGAACTCGAAGTCGTACATTGAATATTCCCGCCCTTTTGATTGGCACGTAATAACGGTATGGGTAGCTACCACGTCGTCTTTTACCAATGACCTGCCATATTATCACAGGATATATATAACGACGAACGCACTGTGTTAGTCCTCTGTTTGTCGACATTTTACCGCTGTCGGCGTTAGTCAACTGCCATTTGCAAGCGTTTTCAGTTAGCATCAGATGTCCTTCTGCAGTAAATTAGCTTGTTCCATAAAAGGCTATATCTTTTAAATATAATTGATTGAGCTTGATATAGTCGACGAAAGATTAAAGAGGATACGTTCATGTAAATAGTGAACAGGAAGTTTCATTATATTAAGATATATTTGGCGTACGTTTTTTATCCTGGAGTTCGACATTTGCGAGCCTCAGTTGGTCCTGCGTCATTTTTTCTAAGGTGTAGAAAATTTGCACTCGATTTTTCATTCTATACGAACAGCTAACATTATACGATGCCCTAGTATGATAGCTACGGTGAAGGATTTGGAAAGGTTAAAAGGAAAAACTAGATAAACCATTCGACACAGGATAAGCTTTTATAACAAGTCTAGCTTAGTAATGGCAACGTATGGATCTATCTATCTATCTATAGTGAGATAATAAATGACTTTGTAAATAACAAACCTCCATAGGATGCTCTCTCATGCACTGATCAGTTTCTAGAGACGCGTTGCCATTAACCGGACAAAGTTTAAATTCGAAGAACCCGTCATGGTTTGCAGTCAACTCAACCGTAGCTGTGATTTCCTCTCCCGCGCTATAATTTTTCGTAATGATGCCTGTGTAATACTTTCCACCCATTGCATTGTCTTGCGGAGAAGGTGCATCGTATGGATCCCCACAGACCCCACAACGCATTTCGTTAGCTTTTTTACGCTGTCGAATTAAAAATGAAAAACACTAAGTAATACGTCTACGGTACGTATTACATGCTTTGTGCTTGAGAAAAGTAGCCGATATTATCTATGGTAATTCACGAATTTTTAAACTTCGCAAAGTTCAAAGCTATTCTGTTTAGCTTTCGTAGAAGAATAACACTGACTGAAGGAAAACTAACACAGATCTGAAGTATATATATATATATATTAAACGCATGAACTGCTCATCGTTGGTGCAATGCAGACCTTAAGACAACAAGGCGATATGATGTATAACCATTAATTGAACAAAAACAAAACAAACCTTTGTAAAATAACTATTTTTCCTCAACTTGACAAATAATATTAGTGTTATTTACAGCAATCACGACCATCATAATCTCACTATTTTTTGCTCTTTGGAGAAGGTTTTATACACACATTCTTTCCATCATTTAGTTAAAAGGCGAATCACCAAGGCGGTATGTGAAGAAATCTTTTTTTTTTTTTTTTTTTTTCGCGATTACTCCCCCTTGTCCCTCAATGCAGTTTAATATTGCTTAAGTACTCACTTCGAATCCACCGCAGAAAAGTTCATTATCGGTGTAGTTCGGTATAGTGGGATAGCCCAACCTCCACATCGACGACCGTGACGGGGGTGATATAAGCCGGCCGTGGCCACAGACCAGTGGCGTCGATGCTGTAAGAACCAATACGGCTATCGACCAACTAAACAGTCTTGCCATTTCTAAAAAAAAATAGAATTTAGATTTTAATCACTTACAATTAGCTTTCCTTATTTATTTTTATTATACTCTGGTTAACTTTTTTTCTTTCACGGGCTCATGAACCCGTTTTCGTATTACAGTGAACTTCCGACTCATAAACAGAACTTCAGGTGCAATGTTTTTAGTTCTGTTTGTGTATGTTACGAACTTTCGCGTACGCTGGACTATTTTACGAACGAAATTATATTACAAGGCATAACTTCTATTAAAAGAATTTTTCAATTTTAATTTCGTTCGTAAAAAAACGTATTCAAAGACAAGCGAGATCTATGATATTGTATAATCCATTTACTGGAACTATTGCTAAGGATAGGTCAAACACCAACAACGCATCGAGCCATTTTCGCCAGCGGCCCTCTAAAGTCTATTCCAAAATTCACAAACGTACGAGCAGTACGAGTACGAGTAATTCGTGGAACCACGAACACGCATAGTGAGCTTTGCAAATCGTACGGCACCGCGAAGACGCTTAGTGACTATTTTCACATAAAGATATCATGTCGGTCTAGATCGAGTTTTTCAAACGAATTTTAATTTCGTTGCATTTATTTTAATTTCTTCGTTAATTTATTTTAATTGCATCGTTCGTTTGAAAATGAAAAATAGCACCTTTCGAAGAGAGAGATTTTCGACTGCAGAACTGTGAACCTTAAGCAAGTACAGTGCACACGACTTTCAATGAAATGACTAATATACCTGCTAGGAAATTTACATAATAAAGGCAAAAAATAACTCCAAAAGCAGAAACAATAATAAATACGCTCATATACATACATACATACATATGCTAGATGTTTTATCTCAGACGCCTCTAGTCTGACATCGCGTATATCAGAACTCACTCAAAATACCTCCTAATTTTAAGATTACTATTTAAAAGAGTCAGGAATAGTTGACACGTGAAAAGCAGTGAGATTTAACGTCTCTTCGCTAGACGCTCCACATAACTGCCCCGAGCCCCCTACTGTTACTACTGTGTGATCACGATCCATAGATAGTCTATCGCGGATGCTGAATTAGCTCAATGACGCTTCGATTATTTGAAAATTCATAAGCTGTTATTAAACGAAAACGTGGCCGTTGCCTGTGGCCTCTAGAATTTCGTACAATACAATATCAAAAAAACCGTTGAAGAGCTAACGTATTGTGAAGGAACCGTAAAACCGTGGCATAAAATACTAATCCAATGTTCGGTCTTCGATCGATCACCTATTCTGATCGGAATACTCGCCAGGCGACGTAAACCACATTGTGAACATATAATCCACTATGATCTCACATTTTCACAGATTTCAAAGGTCGTGCTTCTTCTAAGTAGCGATCCCAAATAGTTAAAAAAAAAAAATGATGGGACTGATGACTGTGTTTATGGTAAAACTTAACTGCAAGCTGAACATCTGCGACTAGATTTATGCAGCGAAACTCTACATGGAAAGACCGTTTGCTCGTTCTATCAAAATGAAACACCAAAATAGTACCATATTAAATGTACATGGGGTATAAATTGATGAAAGCTGAAACGCTTGAAATTTTATCTTGACCTAGTTAGATTCGTCTTTGAATGCCTCTAACACTAAATGGATAGTTCACAAACAATGTATATATATATATAGATATACATTTTAGCTGAGAACGTTTTCTATCGCGCATTGACGAAAAAAGGAGAAAAGTTTTGAGCCTTCGTGGCTGATAAGTAAGTTTAAATTAGTAAACGGGCATATACTGAGAATAGCCGGGAAAATTACCCTGCTTAGTGCGTTAATTTTTGTTGATGCAAGACAAAATAGAGTGTGTATAGGATGTTGATGAACACAAAAAACTTACCTGAGCCAAACATGAAACTTTCCTAACCGGATAACGCTGGCCCAACCTCTGAGCGCACTAAGTGACAGTTTGACACATTGATCGAATTTAAGAGCGGACAGGGATCCCTTTGGCCTTCTGATGATGCCACCTGCTTTCATGGTAGCCCTAAGTTTCTATAGGATACAATTCAGCGTGAGAGGGAAAAGGAAAGCGGAGTATAGGCTACAAGTGCACATTTAAAAACTTTTAGTGAACAGTTACAATGTAAGTTAGCCAAAAGTTCGAGGACCAATGTAACGGGTGAGAGCTCTATTTTAATTAAATTTCGAGCAGAATTTCAGAAAAAGGACAAGTTGACTGGCGGCTAACTTACCTAAATATAAGATACTAAGAGTAGATGTTTATCCCGTTTAGGTGAAATCGTACATACGTAACAAAATCCGACCCTCAAATCTGTCGAAGGTCTAAGAATATTTAGTTCGAATCTTTTATGGGCCTTTTAGTAATTGGCTATCGTAGCTTGTACGCCCAGAGAACAAATAAAAATTAAACTGTTGAAGGGCCCAAATGCTACTGTCTATACCCTGACAATGTGGGTCTTTTTAAGTTCACCATAACGATGGAATCACCTCGTTTTCGTTCAGAGCCTTGCATTCTAATATGTCTTAGGTTGAAACCGATCCTAAAATGTTTTGTTGGACTTTAATTTTACTAAAATCCCCTACGGTTTAATAATACAGACATGCCGCAGAATCAATGCCCAGAAAACACTGGGCATTTGTGTTTATTCATACTGTTGTTTATATATTGTGTTTATATATTGTAGAAATAAATTATGTCACACCATAGTTGAAGTCGCATTAGTTAGAATTGGTTGATCTTTATTGAGGTTGGTACAATCGCGTGCTGGCTGTATAATATGAACAATTAAATGCGGGCGTATACGATGAACAGAATAACATTATATGAGTAGTAATTCAGGTCTAGGAGGCACTTCACTTGGCCATCGTCACCCCAGCAGGCTTATCAAGTTGGAAATTATATTTTATGTGTCCTTAATTTATAGAACTGATACGATGCGTCACAGTTTACTTGCCTAAGGAAACCAAAATGGTATTTCTTCAACATTTTTGCATATATAGCATATATAGTTCAAGTTGATTTAAACATTCTGGGCTTTCAGATTTTGATGTGACTGTAATCCAATAAAATCATAGTAGCCTGTTAAGAACGTATATTTTTAGTTTTTGCAAATCGTTTATAATGAATATCTGATCTTGCTTCATCATACTTTCTGGACTTTATATCTATGATTCGGGTGGATACCTACACTCATTTCATATTAGAGATAGAAGAGAAACAGATTTGAAAATCAGGGCCGAATGGTTGGCAAGTTCTTTTCTGCATGTTTAGTTGATACATTGCCCTATACCATCTTATATTGTAACACACTAACAACATGCCCAGACAGTTGCGTATGACAAAAAAAAGTACTGCTGACCATCTTTTTAGTTGTAGAGTATAACGAAAAACGTACGTTTGTGCCAACGTCAGTTCATTAACTCTATCCTGGCTGGTCATCTTGAAAAAATATTTTTCTTAGGCGTGACATGAATGATGCATGTTGTTTGCTACTTTGACTAGGTTCTTCGTATTTCAGGGTAGCGAAACTAAGCTGAATTTGTGATTCTACTATGAGGTGCCCTACCTGCCTTTCGGATCCTTGTACTGGCTTCCGGCCAACGAGCTTAAGAGATTTCTTAGATTCTTAGAGATTCTTCGCTTTTAGTTTCTCTCTCTGTTACTCTAGTTAGCCATGGTGATGGCGGCTTACAACGCCGTCAGGCCATGTGGCAAATACAACTGTACGGACCTCTTATAAAGTCGAAAGTTTCGTCGAAGGTCGGACATTCAAGGTTATCGCTCTAGCTGAATGCTCTATAATCCTTTGGGTTAGCACTCTGACGAGGATACCAATATTGGCCAATCTTCGATGGAGATTATCAAACGGGAACATTACAAATGTCGCTATTATAAATTCAACTTCCAGAAAAAATGTGTTTTGCTCTAATTCAGGTTGTAATAAGGTTATCACGATGATTTACTGTTTTGTGTGTTTTCAATAAGCCACTAAAAGTTTGGGCAAGCTGAGATGTCGACCAAAAAAGGTCACAAAAAATGTGTCACATTTCCTATAGCGCAGGCTGGCACGTTTCGCTAGGTTTACTGTCTAAACAATTGCAGCCTACTAGACCCTATTATAATGTACACAAAGAGAATCTGGCAAAATAAGATAAAAAAATTCGCAGAGGTCGATTTCGAATTCTGTTGAGCAGAAGCCAAATGGACGTGGCCTGGAAAAACTTTACCTACGTACCTGACAGGTACGTAGTGATGTTCTGCGCTACGCATGGCTTTCACTATCATCCATGTAGTGTAGAAGCTATGGATTCGGTATATCTGTAAGATTCTATTAAATGCCGCAGATGTCGTCCAGGTGACATTGAGTGACGTCGATCTCTTAGCACTGCCTAAACATTTTACCAGTGAAAATAGCTTTAGATTTTAGATCACAGACGCGTAACGGAAGTTAAACTATTTCGCGCTGAATGATAAAGATCCTTCACACTTACCGTCTTTACGCTGCTTGTTCGATTCGATCTCCATTGAGTGGGACAGCTGCGCCATTGTTTACGCTTGAGGCTATATAACTGCTTGTTCCCCGCTTCCCCACAGATTTATAGAGATTAGGGAGTTTAGGGAGAACTATGATTTCACAAGCAAAACGCTACAAACATTTTATTTAATGCAAACATCCGCACGATTAATTGAGTACATGACATCTTTTTAGAAAGACAAACCCTAAAAAGTAATGTTGTAAATTACACAATGACGCCACCGCAAACGATCATAAACGTTGCTCAGTTTTTTTTTTTCGATCTCTTTTTCTTTGTTCTTATTATCATTCCTAAAGTATTATTCTGTTAATAATGGATAAGTAAATTACACTACAAACAGAATCTGGGAATGACTCGCATGCATATGTATATATATATATATATATATACGGAATACCGGACAAAGAATGTAAATCTCAATGTTGATTGTCGTTTGTAGAATTTCACCAGATATGGTTTATATCGCGTTCGTAGAGTATAACGTAACTTATATTACGCAATAATCCAATGACCCGGAAACTCATTCATTTAGATTGATCGCGTACTACGTACAATTTGGGATATGTGTTCAGGCAACGAGATAAACCCCATGTACATGGATTCCATAGGTTGTCCGCTGACATTCATTTGTTAAAACTCTCTTGTCCTGCGTTCAGCCTTGGACTTGAGAGCTTTCGACTTCGCTATGCTGTTAAATGCATTCTCTAAACGTTGCAAATATTCCTTCGCAGGCCATCACGGTCATACGCTTATTGATTATTGTGAGGACAATTGATGCGCTATATCGTAATTTTCCTTTATTATTCCTATATTATTTCTAAATGCCTGTTCAGACGCGCCAGAATTCCCGTTCTATGGTCAATTAAAAGCTGAGTGATAACCAAAAAATGAAATAAGCATTAAAGAAACACCCCTAAGTAACGAAAAAATAACTTGTTTCATCGCTAATGATGTTGTCTATGAAAACGAGTTGGATCTACAATATAATGCATAGAAGATGTTCCCAAAAATCCTATACCTAAATACCTTGAATGTAAAAGGTCATCAAAAAGTAGCGTACTTAAAATTCTATTTCGACACGCTACCACCAAGCAAAAAGATGTATTTTTAATTTCTGGTTTAAGAAATTTGTGAAAGCTCTTCTAGTTAGAGCGAATGAAAAATGAGTACCATTATCAGTTCATTAAGCACATAATAATCTTCATAACTTAGTCGTATCCATTTGGCTTCTTTTTGGGGTAATTGTGCATTCATAGGTTGTTTTGCATTTAAGAATCCTAAGTATTTCTAATTTTCTAATGCTCTTTAAAGTAAATTTTACAAGTAAAATTTTTTTTACAAGTAAATTTTTAACGTAACTAGTTAGGATGTTTAATATATATAGACGATGGTTGATAAATGATGACCATATTATAGGTTATAAATCCTCTAGAGTATAATAATAAAATATATTTAACTAAAGTAATTAGCACAATTGAAGGAATTTATTTTTTGACGTACGAAGAATATACGCTCATACAGCTCAATACGGCTGGACCATGTGGATATACCAACAACGACGTGGAGTCTTGTTCAAAGCAGGAAGAGGACTAACAAGTAGTCGTGTCTTTTTTATGGGATGTCTGAATACAAACAGCTCACTATGGTTTGCTATCAGATGTTTAGTGACAATTACTTGTCGGCCTATACGATACATCCTAGAAATTTTTGTCCACAATGTATATGCCTGTTACTCGTTAGGTTTCGACATGTGGGCGTCTGCAGGTCTATATCAGTTCATGTTGTTGTTTGTCATTTGAGTTTTCAAAACAAGTTATGGTTGCAAGACGTTGGTTACGTGTCATTCAGAGCTAACTTCCATCCTATTTTCGTTAGAATATTTCATTATAATAAACACAGATAAAATGACTCTTAATCAGTGGTCTTGACGTTATCGGTCAAAAGATAAAGGCGCAAAACCGATATAGGAAACTCTTCTAGAAATTTTCAAGCAGCGCCGATTCAGGTTTCGAGTTCACTAATTAAAAACACAGTGCTTCAGACTTGTTGCATTTCGTAGGGCTACGTACGTTTTGGATGAAATTGTTGATTTGCCCTTTCCAGAACTCTATTTTGCTATTTCTATTCTGCCCTATTCAGGCACTATTCTGGAAAACACAGTCCACATGTATAGGTATCATCTTCAATGATCAGGATATAATTTTGCATTTACTGACGTCCTTAGAAAAGTAATTCGATTCGTAATAATTTGATGGGGTGCTGAAATCGAAACTTCGGATAAACGAACAACCGGATGTATATGGCTGAAACCTCGCGAAATGAAACATTTAGCACCGGTATTTCTTCAGGAAATGCTATTTACTCGACTTCGGTCGAGTTCTTATTCCACAGATACGTCTCGTGAGGTACATACGTTATAATCGGATAGTCTTGCCGTGGCTTGCCACCAAAAATTGAGGGCATCGTTAAACAAATGTCGTCCACCATAAGCTCTATAAGCTGATGACACCTTGATAAACTGGCTCTGTATATGTGATCTTTAAAGCCTGAGCGCCCATTACGGAAATTATAAGTATTTGCATTTATGTTGCAATGTACGGACTAAGCTCAATATGTCGTCTTTAAAGACGTTTTCGTACCAAAAATTTATTGAGGACAAAGATACCTTATACATAGAAATCCTGGCTATAGCTTTTCTACGCTTCTTCGTACCTAAAGAGTGAGTTTAAGCACACGCAGTTCTATAAATTAGATAGATAGAATAAAAACGTATCGATTGCCTCATTATACACACTTTTTTTTTTCGCGAGGGCCGAGTAATCGTTTGAATACCTGCTAATGAAAAAAAATTTATATTATTAGTCATACAACATTAATTTATTATGTTTTCTTGCAATAGCCACCTCGAAACGTATTAGCTTCTAAACCAAAGTTAGTTTTGGCTATTATATGTAATAGTGGATTGGATGGGAGCGTATATTATTAGCTAGGAAGATTGCGGACATAAAGTGGATGTGGACATAACGATTCGTGGACATAAAGATCGTCTGCGAACAATTATAGGATAATTATAAGTGTTTTGATTATATTTTGACAAAATACAGGCCATGCGATTGTGTTGCAGTTCTCTGCAAGCTAAACCAGTTTCTGCTTGGGAGCAAGTCTGTAGAGAAGTCATCTCTAAACAATCTAAAGAAAATGATGCCTATTCCGGCATGATGAAATATTCCGGGCATCGGTGCATGCGAGTCTTTTGGAGAGGGTGCACAAGAAACTCCGATGTCATAATCAGTTGAACCTTTCGGACCAGGTGATTAAGTGATGCAATTATGCAGAGGGTTGTACAGACAGTGCGGTCCGTATCGCATCGATTAAATTATGCAGAAGAAAGTAGAAGAGTTTCGCTAATTGGATATACATGCCAGGTTAAAAGCTAGCACGAGATCTGATCGACCTACCTTCTTTGTTAACTTGATTTCATTCTATGGCGAAATGTATTTGAACAATGTTAAGCAATGACACCTTGCCATAGTAAATCGTTTGAGCATGAACATTTTTCTAAGTAAGTTGATTGCACAGAAAAGTTACTCAAATGTGCTCTGCAATATGGTACAACATATTAGTATACACGGCGATATTTGTCCTTGATTAGTAGAAAGCAATTTCCAGCGGTAGTTTAGTAGGTATCGTGTTTGCCGTTATAACCTTTCGGTTCGAACCCGCGCATAGGCACACGACCACTTCGCGTTGGGAACCGCCAATTATTTTCGCGCTGGAACGCCTAAGGACGAAACAGGATATAAAACTTGCAGCATAGAGGTGGAGTGTAATAAAAATCGAAAAAAAAAAAGGCTTGGCTCGAGCCAAATGTACACTTCAGCTCGTGCTAGGGGAAACTATTTAATGAAGTCGATTAACTCTAAACATCGGTTTGCCCCTTGCATATACGTCTTTTGATAGAATACCGTCTCTCAGTTTATTATCGGTTGTTGAAAATAAGTGGGATCAAAAATAGACTTTAATACTCGAATATTTTTAGTGTTTAAAAATAATATAGGTTTAAGTTATTGATAGATACACTACGAACAATCGGTGTACTTCAATATCTAAGTAAAATGATAACCGACAAAAAACGTGACTCAATAAATAGGTTTATTTTTCAGTTTTGGATTCATCTTTCCTCTCAAACACATCGCCCTGGGACGTTACACAAAAATAAATACGCTTATATTTAAACTTATTATTATTATATATTAATTCCACACGCACCGCACAGTTTTATGCATCTATCTTATTTAGGATGTTACAGCCAGTCAGAATATTCAGTTTATGCCGGACGCAACGAATTGCAACAACAGAGAACGTTGATCCGTATAGCTATTTTCTATATATTGGTACGATTATGACGGTTTTATATGTACACAATGAATGACTATGGGAGTGGCCTCTGACTGCGCATCTGTCATAAACGAAGAGCATTCACAGTAAGCTTCATCTCGGCTCCAAACCACATTGTTATTACCGTAACTTGTTGCGATGAGTTCTGCTAGACAGTTCCTCACTGTCGTTGTGGAATAACCTATTGCTATTATAATTACACAGATGACCCTTAAAAGTAATACTTTAAACATCCATAGCCATCATCAGTCATTCAGCCTACGCCACCCAGAATTGGTTCGTTTTCATTCTTCACTATGCGCGAATTTACCACACCCTATCGTGCCTTTTTTACACATTTTTCTTCTTTTTACCTCCGTATAATAATTTTGACCGTTTTCTCTGGTAACCTGTTATCGTCTCTGTCTGTGTTAGCATTGAATGCAAGGACAGAATCGAGATGCCGTAGAAGTGATAGTCCTGTTAGACAAAACCGTCTCGTAATCTAATCACAATCGCAATGCGACGAAGGACAATAGAGCGGTACGTGATTACAATTGCTTATGCACCACTCGTCCATACCAGGTGTAGACGCAAAAGTTCCTGCTCCGCGACACTGTACCTGCCCGGGTCGTCTTGGTGTGACAAGCCTAGAACAAAAAAAAAAAAAGCTTAACAATAATACCAGGTGCTAGACGAATAGGAGCGAAGGTCCAAATATATTATTTATTTTCCTCATATTACCGACTCGTTTCCTGGCCGCTAGGCTTACGGCAAGCAATAGTACTCATCTACTTTTTTGTATTCAGTGTACTTTAATAGAGCACCCACGGAGGCAAATTTACCTATTACGTCACCTGCCGTTTAAAAAGTTCGAATCCACAAGCACAAAACTATTAAAATATTCTATTTTTGTCGAAAAAAGCCAGTTTCATCACGTGTCATGTCGTATGGAAACGTTCTCCAGAGTTCAGAATTATTTTCCAGGCTAGAGGATTTCGTTGCAGTAATCCCATTTAGCGATATAATGAAAACCTAATAATAGCCATTTAGCATTCAGTGATCGATAATTGCATAGTTCCGTCGAGCAACTTATTGTTCAGTATTTCATTATAAATATAATGTCCTATCAATTGAAGAAAGCTATAAAACCAAGATTTAGAAGTAACCATCTACTATGAAATCACAGTTGTCCGGTAGTTTCGATGTGTTACGTGAGTTTGAGTAAAATGAACAGATTACGCATTGCTAAAGGTTATGAGATAAGCGGTGTCCTTTGCTTTTCGCCCTGCTGATTAATGCCCGATGGCAAACACAAAGCTGTAACTATTCATACTATACAAACTGTTTCGTCGCGCTCATCGTTAACGATTAGGTTTCACTCTGAGATGACTACCGCAATGCTTGTTGATGCTTCAGGAGTGGTCACTGATTTATTAGTACCCATTATTTCTATTGGCGGCCTTGTTGAATATGGCCTTTAGATAAGAGTACACCTTTAAATTTGGTCATATATTTTACACCAATTTTTGCGACGTTTACGTCGGGAAGTTCACTGAAACCATCTAATAAATTCCATATGCAAGCGTAACGTATAGATTTAAACGTTATCGCACCAAAACATGACGAATGAGCATCGCAAAATGTGAAAGTTCAAAGTTTGTATACAAGTGAATCGAAAGAAAATGTCAAAAATGCTTTTTCGCTGCATTCGGGCATAAGTCTATTTCAACACGTGCCGCACTTGCAAAAACTGAAAATCGTAAGAGGTGTTCAGTTTGAAGTCATCAATTGATAGTTCTAGCTTGAAAGAAACTAATTAACGCCGAAATGTATTCGTTATATAGAAGAGTCAGTTTCCTCAATTTCTATTGAGGTTAGCTTCTGTCCCCTTTTTGCGGAGGCACCTCAAATATATGTGGCCATACGACCAGTAGACTCACCCTTGAGTGACTACAGGTGTTGTAAACATAGCGTTCTGCACAACATCCACAGAGACAACTGGGGGCAGCGTTGGCTGCTTCCGAGTGGACGGTGGTACCAGCAGCGGCGTGTCTAAGTCCGGCGATGACGAGGGCTTTTCCCACTGTGGAGGTGATGAGGAGGACTTTTCCCGCTGCGGAGGCGATGACGAGGACTTTTCCCGTTGCGGAGGCGATGACGAGGGCTTTTCCCACTGTGGAGGTGATGAGAAGGACTTTTCCCGCTGCGGAGGCGATGACGAGGATATTTCCCGTTGCGGAGGCGATGACGAGGGCTTTTTCCACTGCGGAGGTGATGACGAGGGCTTTTTCCATTTCGGAGACGATGACAAGGGCTTTTTCCATTTTGGACGTGATGGCTGTGGTATTTTTTCGTCATGTGAAAGTTCTGTGTGTATCTCGTCATGCGGGGATATTTTGGTCGTTGGCTCGCTAGGCGACAAAGTATCTGAAACATCATTAAGAAAATCGTCCATCTCTGGATTCCATTTGCGGTGTGGGGGTCTGCGCTTAGGGAACGGTCTTGGAGAAGTTTTAAGATCTGGAGTAGATGGCCACTCTTCTTGTTCAGGTAGGCGCGGACTGAGAGGAACCAAATACGGTCGGGGACTCGTCGATTGTCTGCTAGGATTACGCACATGTTTTCGGCTCGGATGCACGTATAAAAATGTGTTTGTCGCCCAATTATGGGTCTCAAACGAAGGACGCGGCGAGGTTTTCAGGTCAGGGGTAAAAGGCCAATTTCCGTTCACGGGAAAACGTTGAGACCTTGCCGTAATACTAGGTGTCGCAGGCCACTGGTGATAAAACCAAGTGGTTGTTGATGGCTTGCCATGGGGATAGCCAGGATTAACGGTGCTGGGCCAGGCATTGCCACTATTCCAGTGTTCCCAGGATAGGGTAGGTGGAGTGTATAGGGGTCGATATGTTGAGCGAGACACAGGGTTAGAACGATGTGGGAAGTAATTTCGCGTACGATCAGGAGATTGGAAGTGAGGACGGAATGGCTGAATAGGCCGAACTGTCGGTTGCGGAGGAATCGGAAATGGTACAGGTGTGCTTATGGGGCTTGACGCAGGTACAGTAGTAGGAATGTGAGAAAACTCATCACCGTCAGGTTCAATCTTGATATCGGCACAGCCTCGAAAGGTCTCCTGCAGGCCACAGCCTACAGTATAAGTACCATTAGCGCACATTCCCCAGTTGTTACCTGGAATATAATAGTACCAATCGCATGTTAAAAACCAGACACATAACGGATTGCTTAAATCAATACAACATACAAACACAACAACAAATACGATAAAAATAAACTTAAAATTAAAACGCAATTAATTTTCCTAAGAAATTACTAATTTTTCGATTAAAACTGAGAGGAGTAATTGAAGGCCCAAAAACACGTCTGCTATTAGGTAAGTCAGCCAAAAACACCTGGTGTATTGGCGTTAATCTGGCCAATTTAACAGGAAACACATTCAAAAAGCGCTTTTTCTTTATACATATATATATATATATATATATATATATATATATATATATATATATACATGTAATAATTATTGCAGTAATTTGCAGATGTTGGACCGCAGAAAACAAAGCATATTTAGCTGTTGATCTTTATAGTGACGTCTGCTTTACTATGAATGCTTTCGTATAGCATAACGTTGTTTTTCGCCACATACGGCAAGTTTATATTATTACTATCTACTTTTATATACCGATAAACTACGGCGTACTAGATAATCATGACCTAAAGAAAAGGCATAATAGAATTATTTTTCAAATTACTAACACTGCCAAAAAGTTATGTGTCGCATATCAAGGATCATATCACTGAATTATAAGATCACATATATATTTCGCGTGAAAGATCTGTCTAATTGATTGTTACCTGCTGTGTAGGTCCACTGGAATACGCATTGCGAGCAGGTGATATTTTTAGGGAAGCGCAGCCGAACGTCGAATTCTCCTCTATTGGAATTTTCCACGTAATACCGGTACGGGCTTTCGTTTTGACGACGGCCTTCTCCAACCACCTAAGTTTGATAAAGTATTTAAGTGAAAATAAACATAGAAAGTTATTTTAAGCAAAAAGGATTAACCGCAATAAATGGAGCTGTGTAAACCTCTCAGAAAGTATGAATATGTAGGGGTTCACGCGTTTTTTAGGTTTTCTATCGAAATATATATTATGGTGTGTAATAGACGTTTAATCTACCTATATCGTTCGATGGGTAACATTTCTTGTTCAAGTTCTTGAATGGTAAGACACAAAATGCTTTATTGTCGAATGAGCGCCTTGAAATCAGTGGGACTAAACTGTTCTTCTCATTGAAAATATATTTAGCGCTACTGCCTGAAGTCGTGTGTACCTCTATGGGATGATTTTTCAGACATTCCTCCGTCTCCTTCGCAGGGTTCCCGTTGACCGGACATAGTTTAAACTCGAAATATCCTCGATGGTTGGCTGTCAACTCAACGGTGATGGTTCTCACTTGACCAGCTTGGTACTTGTCAGAAATGATTCCTGTGTAGTATTTTCCTCCCATTTCATTAGGTCTGGGGGTTGGTGAATCGAACGGATCCCCACAAATTCCGCAACGCATTCCATTATTTCGCTGGCGCTGATGTTGAAAATAACGAAAAAATCAATTTTTAAATTTACAGTAGTAATAAACTAACAGCCATGCAATATCTATTCTGTAGCGTGCTTTTTACTAAATATGAAGTCATGCTGCATTCGAAAACACTACGGAAGCTATTAAAAAAAAAAACATAATTTTGCTCAGATATCATGCTTTGTTAACGAATAGTATGAATCTATCACTTCCCAACTCCTGAGATCAACAGATGAAAATTATTCTGCGTTGCGTACCGGTATTCGTAGCTAAATTATCATTATTATCTCAAAAATATGTTCGCTTCCCTCTCGGGTTCACTTCCTGAATCCTTAATAGGTTAATAGTAAACTCTGTGTTACGAGTAAAGACCTTCTTGATTTTCCCATGAGGTACTTCTAAAATTGTTGGTAGGAATTTTTTTGGTATATTAGGTGTTCTGTAGTCCTGATTGCTCAAGGTCATGCTAAAAATCAGACCCTAATAAGCGAAGCCCTTTATTGTAATTATATTGACGCTTATGTGATGCTAATATAACAAATGGGTTTCCGATTGTCCACATACTATTGCCATAATATTAAATGTGCACTAGAAAAACGTTCTACCTCAGAGTAAATACAGATTTTTATCCTCATTTCCTTTATCTTTGTTATATAGATATTTATAAGCAGAATAATATAAATTTAAACCGCCTTTTTGATCTGACGAATAGCTCACATTTTAAATACTCATAGCCTATTTTTGCTTAGTATATGCGGCTGAAAATTTCTCCGGATCTCTGTCAAAACAAACTTAAATTTTGCAAGAAGCCAAAATAATCGACTTACGGTAAAGCCTCCACAAAACAGCTCGTGATCGTTATAGTTTCGTGGGGTCTTAAAGCCAAGTCTCCACATCGAAGAACGCGAGGGTGGGTGGAGGAGGCGGCCATGCCCTGAAACCCACGGCGCGGTTCCTAATAGAGCCAACACGACAGCCACAAAGACCTGACACCAATATCCCATACCTGCAATAATTGCAGAGACTTTAAGAGACTATATCGCTCAAACTAAAAATTTAGTCTAGGCAAATTATATTCCAACCAAATGTTCTATATATAACTATTAGTATGTGAAAAATACCAGTTTGAGGATTATTCTTGAGCATACATTATGTATACAAGCAAGCATTTCTATGTATGTGACAATCGTAGCGAAAATGGCCCTAATGATATCCAAAATTTGCTACGTGCAAGGCGGCTGACAGCGGTAGCAGGGTGACAGTTGTTTGATAACCAAACGAAGGGACGATAATTAACAGAAGAGGGTGAGTCATCTGCTAGAGCGTCATAGGATAATTTAAACAAAATAGAAAAATACCTAGCTCAGGATAATTTAGGCAAAGTAATAAAATGGCTGCAGCTATCTGATCGAAATGCAAAACCAAAGCGATGAACTTATGGTCGGTAACGTAACGGAATCACCCCCCAACAACCCAATGGATTTACTTAAACGAGACCCTAGAAGAATGCATTGGGCAAACGGTAATGCGATTATAAGAATATCTACAATGAAATATCAGCAACAGCACAGGGTTATGACAAGTAAGTTCGAACTTGCCTTATACACAAATAAAAACTGAAAAAAAATGAACAGTTTGGTAGTTAATGAAACTCTAAAAGCAGACTAATGTTATACATCTGTAGGTACGCAGATGTTGTCACTTGGTGTACCCTCAGATGTTCCCAATATTATAAATGAAAAATGCTTGTACAAAAGACAAGTCGTTTCTAATAGCTGAACGTCAAATTTTTTCTGGGGTAAATTGTTCGCGGACCTAGGGCCAGAAGGGCGCAGGACAATAGGCTTAGATCTGCTTCGAGGATACCGACAAACATTTCGAGAAATAAATGAGCAGATGAGAGCAGGATAACCGATTTGGTCAATTCGTGTGCTTTTGTTACCCATTTCCCTTACAGCATTTCAAGCTTTTCGAATCTCCCAACGAGATTTATGACGCCAAAAAGAATATATTGCCCCGTTTGTGTACATGCCAACTTAGGTAATAGAAACTGACCCAATGTATCTTTGATAATAGTTACATTTACCTATTCGATTTAAAAATGCGGTATAGACAGCGGAACATTTTAAGCGAAAGGATTGCTTACCACATGACATTCTGGCCAGAGACCACACACGATGGTACTATCCACTAGGTTCCGTATTAGATATTAATGCAGCCCCCTGATGCGTACGAAACGTTTGGATATTTACTAGACAGCACTGCTGGGTAGAACGTAAAAGCATTGGATACACTATAGTCTACGAAGGCGTTGTAAACATTTGTTCCATTGCGTAATGCTAATCACTCTCTATATACGAGCGCTTTTCTAGTTCTCGTGTCACCCTTAGAGGTGAGGGCATCACCGTCATAGAAAGCAGCGACAATTCAACGTAAACCTCTTGCCAACCGTGGGAGTCAATAAGTCTATTGTTCATATCCTTTTTTCCTAAAGGATATTCCATATGATTCGTAATATGTTAACCTTTCTTATTTTTTTTATAAACTCGAACGTAATTTAAAGAACATTTGGAAGCATTAAGAATATTGGATGTTATTCTGAGTTTATAAGTACATAGTTAAATTAAAAAGAGTATAAAATCCATTAATAAACAGCAATATATCTGTAAAGGACGACCTACTATTCTTGAAGGATCCTGCCTATATGTTGCCCCTTTTTGTTCGGATAAGCATTCGTCTCGAACAGCTAGAACGATCACCTCAATGTGTAATGAGTTCGACGACGTAGGCGATACGTTTGCCAGTCTATGAATCTACTCTTTAGAAGTCTATAAGAAACAGGCCTATAGTATGTTCACACTATTTTACTTGCTCCTTATCCGGTAGCCCTGAGCAGGCTCATTGGCATAGCAAGCATAGTACCGCATTATGGCCTAATTAGATTAAGGCAGGAAAGAAAGCTCGTTTCAGGGAGCGGGTGGGGGAGACTAGTGAACAGCCTTTGATGTCACCATATAGTCTTAAGCAATCACATCGCACAGAACTGCTAGCCATGTTCGGGCCTCACACACAAATACGAGGTAATGCTTGCTCGCGTTAGTGAACATGTTTACTGTAATAGCTTAACCTAAGTTTTCATTACTTGTACTCTTTGTTTCTATTCGCAAAGCTAATTCGTAGTGTTCCGCTTGCGCTCGTAACTATTTAGGTAAACAGCTTCGACTCTACTTCATCTGTTTACTCCCCGTTGGTAAGTATGGGATTATGATGATGAGGGCTTGAATTCGCTTGAAGAGCTCGAGACTCTCTCAAATATAAATTTAACGGTCCAAGGGTACAAGCCGAATTTGTCTGTCACGACTTGTAAGAACCAAACGGAAAGTACTTTCATGATGAATGTCTTGGGTTTAATTTCGAAGAAGTAGGCTATCTCTCAATGCACTTCCTTGCGACAAAAATTTGCTTCGAAGATATAACATCATGGAAAAGGGTCTCAATTATTACCGGCCGTTATTACAGTGAATTATTTAACAGAAGTTAACCGGTTACTGATTCATTAAAAAAAAAAAAACAGAAGGCCGTATACAGTAGGTATTAAATTAAATATTACGTAAGTTTCAGATAGGTTGGTCCTTCTGTCTACCACTAACATTGTACGTGCTGCCTAAACTAGATGCATTACCACGTTCGGAAAAAACCTAGGATCTGTTTCGTAATTCTAGTCTTGCATCCTATTTTATATATGCATCGAACACGTTCAGGCAAAAGTATAACGTTCACCTAACTTAACACCGAGCTGTTGACTTTTATTCAAAAGAATAGATATCAACTTGAATCACTTCTCTTTACGCTATAGCTTTCAATCAAAACATTTGTTTGACGTAATTGCAGCGTACATTGATAGAGAAGTCTGCTTGATTTTACCAAGTGCAAGTGTTTTGTACAAAAATGTCGTATGAAACCTGGTCTAAGCGCTACAGACACTATTCTGCACAGAGATCGTCCTTGACCAAGAATCTTTTGTGCAAAAGCCATAACGTTTCTATATTTTCCGAGCTCTCCACAATAAGCATGAGACAGTATTAAAAAAAAAAAAGAAAAAAAATAATATTAAATGTTTTAGTTAAGCAGAAAGTTCTCGCCCTACTACGAGAGGCTTATGCACTAAGTATAACGCAATGACGCTGAAATTCGTCGTGGTATGCTTGACAGAGGTGTTTAGGATTCGGATAACCTAGACAGCTTGACAATAGGAGAAAAACAGCGGAATTGCTAAAGCTAATTTGATGACAGGTCATAAAACTGTTTGAATTATTTAGTAGATTAGTTGAAAGAGGACTGCCGACGATCTTCAACGAGAAAATTGAAGTAGGACAAAATGGATACCGGCAAACGTGGTAACAGGTAGCGCAGGGCAGGATTATAGGAGTTCAGGCCAAGCAAACCCGAACTCGCTTCAAGTTAGAAGAACGAAGGTCATAAGATCATGTCCAGTGTACATGTTCAAAGTGAAACATATCGAAAAAATTGATGAATAATTAGGTAACTAGCCTACAAACGTTGGACATGCAACAGCTACTTGATCCTAACTTTGTATATATTCCATTCAGAAATCAGGTGAAAATAAAAAAAAGATACACCTACCTTTCAATCTTTATATAAAATCGATTAGTTGAATAGCAAGCTGGTGAGTCTGGTTTGTGTGTATTTAACGCATAAAAGACGTAAGTGCTCTTTAACATTACAGACTGACAAAATCGTACCTAGAGAAATTACGAACGTCAAATTTACGCTTACTCGACTTCGGGGGGTGACGACAAAAGTTCAAACAATTGCGATGTTTACTTAACTTAAAGTACAACGACTTAGATACCGAATTATTTGAATAATGTGAAAACGGTTTGTGTCCAGGGATTTTTCGTAGAACAGGAAAAAGTGAAGTCGGTACTGCTTTATAGACACATTTAAAAAATATACTAGAACGCATTTTGTTGATTTTTTTCGTTTACAAAACAAAGTAGTAATATATTTTTTAACAAACGTTAAACATTGGAGTATTTCTCATTATAATAAGGGCTAGTCTTGATTAATAACGTGATCTGATTCATAAGCACAGGACCATAGATCCTAAAGGAAGTGGAGGTTAGCTAATGCTAGATTGTTGCAGTTTGTGGGATCGACGATAGTCCGTATCCCTAGAAGGGCACACTCTCAATAGTTACGCGCGAACAGCAACGCTTATTGGGCGATCTTCATGGGCGACGTGTCGGCAGTGTTACCCATTTTTCGGTGTAATTCGTTAGTCTGTAGGCTTAACTTGAAACATTTGACCAGAAAGGGCCCGACACATCGGGCAGCCACTCTTGGCAACCGTCAAAACTGCATGACTATGTGTATGTTAACCTTGTACTAATGTTCTATCCTATTAACAAGCCATCTACTTTCTACGGCTGATCAAATGAGATAGCTTCAAGTCCATCTGACGCTTTTAATAGAGGATACCTCATTATGGCGACATAGCGGCAGCAATTAGGGTGCATTATTCACTGTTGAGCGCTGTGACCACGAGGCACTTCCAAGAATTCTTAAGATCGAATCAATTGCATATATAGCGTCCGCCGGAACAGCAACTATCGGACCTCGGTTCGTTATCTCCGGGTTCCGGCCTTGCCTCCTCACGGCTAATTTCCTTTGTTGCTGTTCTGCCCAGGGCTAAAGGCTCGCCCATGACCTTGCTTTCCAATCGCCTTCATTCACCCATTGCCACTACCAGATACTGTTTCATACGCACAGAACTGCCCAGCTTCGTCTATTAACTAGATAGCAAGCCAGCAGAGCATGAACGGTGGTACTGTTCCTTCGCGAATCCGTAGCTGGCGACGGATCTTTGGCTTGGAACCACTATTACCACCAACGCTAGTCTGCCCTAAACGACAGATCCAGCAGCTTTGGCATTGTCTTAAAACCAAGATGTAGTCTATTTTGACTCACTGATGAGTAGCTTTT